TCCTCAAGAGGTATGGATGGGGAAAACCAGTAAGGTACTGGGACCTGTACGATTGGTGAATATCACTGATTAGCTAGCTTTAAAATGTCTGGGGCACTGAAATGAACATTGTTGACCCAGCATAACTATAGCTAAATCAACTTTAAACATCTTGGCACATACTTTATTGTGACAATGTATAAAAACACAATTTCATGGTTTTGTATTAAATGGTATGTGTTCAAAGCTCACCTGTCAATACACTAAATGATTTCCCGTCTTTTACAGAAGATCTTTTTGCTGTCCACATGACCTTTCTTCCCAAACTTAAGGGAGACCTGGAGGCTTTTGTGGAGGGATGGAATAACCACCCCCTCAGAACGGAAAGGAATCGAACTCCGGAGCAGTTGTGGCACACTGGAATGATGCTTCACCCAATCAACCAACCAGAGAATCTTGAGGTTATATTTGCGACAACTTTGTACACTGACAATAGTAGGCTGAATTGTAAATCCAAAGTAAACTGTTAAAGAAGGATTTTGGCCTACTACTGGCTTCTCTAGATATTTCACACATCTTCTAGAACTGATAAATAACCTGAAAATGTGTTATTATTGTAAACTCTAAGCTAGTAACCGGACTACATATAAATTCATAAAAATGCAGAGCCGTACAAGGTTGACTTTTTCAACTTTCAGGACATCCAAGAGCCAGAAGTTGACTGGGATGTTGCAGCAGATTATGGAGAAGATGTGGATGGGGTGGTAGTGGTCCCAGAATTTCAGTACCCCTTGGATGAACAGCAGCGAGCAGAGCTTCAGTGTCTAATGGATGAAAATGAAGGACAAACTGAAGAAGCAACAAGAAACCAATACCTCCTTTGCCGTGCTTACCTGGTTTAAATCTTCAGTCATGCTGAGACAAAGGGTCTGGCTGCAGGTCTTCATTCCAACCAAGCAGGAACACACCTGACTCGACTGAGTCTGTCAACTGAACTGTCACATGTTGATTTGTTGGATAAGGTGTGCTCTTGCTCTGTTGGAACAAAAACCTGCTGCCACACGGCTTGCTCTAATAAACTAAAAAGGGCCACTGTCAAATGTGTTGTCTTTATTGGATATAACAAAAAGACTTCTAAGAATAAACAAACAAATTATTATTTACATGGACAAAATAAAGATAAAAACAAGCAAACAATAAAGATATATTCCAACAGCCAGAGAAGCATTTTTATGAAATAATGCTATTACATTCCTTAAACTATTTACAATAATAATGCTGGTAGGATGACACGGTTTAGTTAGTGCAGGTTAAATTCAAACCCAGCAAGGATTGCCTCGGTCATGTTGACCTCAAATTCACTCGCCTTTTCAAAGTGGCGTGTAGGAATTGTGATGGCAGCTAGAGCAAGCATTAACTATGGGGTAACACACTCCATGTTCCCCATACTTAAGATGACACTCATGATCAAACTGTACAGTCACTCTGAAGTTGCTCCTCTCTGCCTCTCCCAGAGGGATGTGGGCCTGGCCAGTTACCCACTGACAAAAGGTCTTGACAGTTGGAGGCTTGATGTCGTTGCATGTATTCAAATCTTCTTCCTGGGACTCCTTAGGATTCTCCTCTCCTTCAAAACAGAAATACCAAAAAGTAAAGTCAGCATGGAAATGCAGGATAATCAAACTAGAAATGACTTATATGCTTGATGAGTGTGCCCCAACAAGAGGTCTACATTGTGCAAATAGTATTAAGTTTGACAGACACACATACATGTAAAATTGAAAAAGTGTTACCTTTTTCTTCCAGCTCCTGCAGGTAGTCCTGCAGAAGATTAACTATCCTCATCTCGCACTGCCGCCTGACTGACCCCTCTGGGCTGTATTCAGGTGACAGTGCAAGGATCAAGAAATCGGCATCCACCTTTCAAAAACAAAAACAAAAAATGAAACAAATACCCCTCTGAGGTGTGGTTCGGTTAATTTAATTATTACAATCATTTTTGTTTTCATGTGATGTTTTGTAGTTCATTACTCTATATTACTGGATAAACTATGGAAATCTGGGAAATATTTAATGAATGTACTTACTCCCTGAAGGCTGCCTGGCACAAACAGTTGCTGGCACAACAGTGGCTGTTCTACCAGCAGCTCATCCAACCCGTAGAGGGCCAGTCCGTCTCGCAACTGCTGCAGGATTGGGAGGAGCCTGAGCCATGAGTGTAACACTATGGCCCTAATGCAAAAATACTGTATTAATTAAGACAGAATTGGTCACAGCTGAAGACATTTGTGAATTCAATAACTGACATACTCTAGAATGTCCTTCTTGCGGTCCGCCTTGATGGGCCCAGAGTACCCACAGGCTATGATGCGGTCAGTGAGAGCCATTAGGCTGTCTTCTTCTGCATCTTGAACCTGATGAGGCATTGACAAAGAAGGAAAACTTATTCTGATACTTTTAAATTCAAGAGAGGGAAAATGTATGTGTATTTGAAAATGTTTCAATACCTCAGTGACCAAGTTCTCCATATCTACTGATGCTGTTCCTGCTTTCACAACATCCTTGTCCAGCTGTCCATGGCAGAGATAATGGTAGGTGTGATGGGTTAGAAAATGTGGTGCCGGCCCCCCCTGCACCACACTAGCAGCAAAAATCTCTCCACAGTACCTTTTGATATTGATGGAAAAACATATATATTTTTTGAAATATTATCCGTAATTTAAAAATACAATGACTACCATACAATACATAGCGCTACATACCTGAACGTGTTGTCCTGGTATGCTGACACATTGTACTTTGGATTTTTCCCCCGTTCGTCCCCCTGCTCGCTTGCATGACCCGGCTGCATAGCTATAAGAAATACTTAATTTGTTGGTCAAGACACTTTCCATCTGATGAAGGCAAATGCCTTCCCAGATGTAACAAAGTAGAAAACATTACATTCAGTTATTAATGCCAAAACAAACATTATTTACACTATTATGGCCCCTGTTAAAAATGTTTGTAATGTTATCTACTGTAAATTGGTCGAACGAATGCCTCCTTATCCGGAAGCTGACCGAGCAGACCCGAGCAGCAGTCGAGAGGAGCCGAGCGCATCCGCGAAGCACACACAATGCTTTAGCGCAATATCGCTTCAGTTGCGCCACTTATGTGACAGACAAGAAGAGTATGTGACAGACAAGAATAGTCAATTCTAATGTCTAACACTTATGCCCCGGCCACACGAGGACGAAAACGGGCGTTTGCGTTACTGTTTAGTGTCATATAGACCGTTCGGCCACACGAGGACGACAGAATACGGCACTAAACGATTGCGGAAACGATAACGGGTCCCAAGGTGGATAGAACGGCATACGCAACGCTGTGGGGGGTCCAACGGCTCCGTGTGTACGCCATATTCGATCATTTTCTGATAATGATGAGGCAATAGCCCCGCCTCTCCCCACCTCTGCTGCTCACCCCCGCGTCAAAGTAAACTGCACACTGAATTCAGATTATTTATCTTTCTCTCGATATGGACATAAACGCGAGTGAAGTCTAATCTGACAGGACGGAGACACCTCTCAAACTACCTAAACTAGTTATAAATATGTTTATTTTTACTGTCGGCCGGGTCACTCATTACTGGATCAGCTGCTGCATGAAACAGACACTGACGCTGTCCGAAGAGAGGGAGGAAAACGAGAGGCTCCATGTATTTTATTATTATTATATTATATAGAGTCGTTATTCATTTGTTTTAAAGCTCAATAAATAACAAAGAAGACCTTTGACCGGCACTTTTATAATTTTGTCGGAAGATTTAAACTTTAATACACGCCCAGATAGCAAAAAGTAATTGAATCAACATTGAGATATGGTCACGCTGAAGATTGTGTTCAACATTGAAGTCAGACATTGAAACAATAGTGAATGTGCTCGTTATGATCAGCATTGAAACAACATTGAATTTTCAACCAATCCCAACAATGAATTAACCTTGATTCAATTACGATATGATCAACATTGAAAGAATGTAGAATTGGATCAACATTGATTCAACTATATTATGCATTGCATTATACATTGAAACAATGTTATTATCAGATTGCAAAAAGTCATTGAATCAACATTGAGATATTGTCATGCTGAAGATTGCAATTGATGTCGGACATTGAAAATAAACTAAAATGAACAAACAAAAAAAGAGCCCATTACTTATTCAGTTATTTATTCAGATTCAATGATATGAACATCTTTAACATCTTTTGTCCACAAGCACGAAAAACATTGTCTCTTAAGGTCCCATGTCATGCTTTCCTGGTTATCACCCATCCCCTTGTGTGTTATGTAGCTTTTTCTGCATGTAAACGGTCTGCAGAGTCACAAACCCTCAAAGTACACCCTGTAGCGAGTAAAACTAACAGAGAAGACCTGTCTATGCTGCCCCAGAACTTCTTCCTCAGTAAAGTGACGTAACGGGCATAGTGGTGTGACACACACACTCTCACTCAGCCTTATCTTTTCTCATCCGTGGCTGTGAGTGTGTGTCTGTGTGCTCAGGCTGAGTTCCTCTGTGTCTCGCTGTCTCACAGACCCCACGCAGCAACCAGGAAACAACACCAGTAATCCAGCTCACACTGTCTGCTCCTCGAGCCGAGCAGCGAGCCCCGCAACATCCCGCCAACACGGTACCCAGACCCCACGCAGCATTCTCATCAGTTTGTCATTACTGGTGTCATTTTCTGGTTGCTAACACCATTGTAACACATAATCACTGAGGTTCACCACCGTTACAGCTGTACATCAGCGAGACACAGGAACTCAGCCTGAGCACACAGACACACACTCACAGCCAGGCTGTGTGTGTAAATCCACGGAGCCGCAGCTGAGAAAAGATAAGGCTGAGTGAGAGTGTGTGTGTTACGCCACTATGCCCGTTACGTCACTTTACTCAGGAAGAAGTTCTGGGGCAGCATAGACAGGTCTTTTCTGTGTTAGAGTTTTACTCGCTACAGGGTGTACTTTGAGGGTTTCTGACTCTGCAGACCATTTACATGCAGAAAAAGCTACATAACAACAAGGGGACGGGTAATAACCGGGAAAGCATGACATGGGACCTTTAAGTGGAGGAAGCTCCTTAGAGACAATGATCTGGCCATCAACTGTAGTTCAAATTATATTTGCTCTGAAACTCCAGATGACATAAAAACCTGGCAACTGCAAACAGGGTTGTCATACTCGGTGGAAAGGCAGTCTTAACTATAAACTCAGATCTATAAGACCCCAGTTCAACATGAACGAAAACACCCCAACTTTAAACAATGTCCGTTTAACTATTTTTTCCTTGGTACACCGCCATTCCTCTCTGGTGCGTAACGTAGCCACTTCTGCACTCCAACCCTGAATGTCAATTCCGTCAGCCTGCGGTCAAATTGACGAGCAGCAGCTGAAAAAAAAGAAGTTACATTTTTTGTTTATTGAAATAATAAGAAGAAGAAAGCTGCAATGGATGCGTTCCAGTGTGTACTGTTTAGTGTACTAGGTTTTCAGGCGGCCTTAATTGAGCAATTCACCCATCAACCACATCTTCATATAATTGATTCACACTATTACTCATTTCTGTCTACTCGCTCTGTGTCTCAGAGGACGGTAGTGGACAGTTCAGAAACGTGCCCATCAGTGACATCATCAATGGTCATTTCCAATTAGCTAGGAATAATGTCACTGGTAGGCAGGTTTCTGAAATGTCCACAGCCCACCTTTGAGATGCAGAGCGAGTAGACAGAAATGCTGCCATCCTATTATGAGCATTAATGAGGACCACTTATATGAAGATAAGGATAAGAATGGATGCATTTTGCATCCATTCTTATCAACTTGAGAAAGAAATGTAAAAGACTTATGAATTAAATTCAATATTTGCCAAATCTGTTGTAAAGTAGTAAACCTAGTATTTTGAGGTGCAGGCTCACCAAACATGCAGTCCTTTATCAGCGTGTCCTTGAAGGCCCTCTTCTCTCCCTTTCCCACCCAGTTGAAGATGCAGGCTAGACTGTTTGTCATGGCAGCGGATAGCATTCGCCGGATCATATTTTCCGAGTTGGTCCCTCCGACTAATGCCAGGCGGGTAATCTTAACAGACGAGAGAAAATGATTAGTGTGCTACAGTGTACTATGTAAATAGACATCTTCTCATTTATAAATAAATACAAATGTAATGAATTTGAACACATTTGTATTACCTCTAAGGAAGAAATAAGACCACTACTGTGTCCAAACTAATCGACAAACAATGCCAACAACCAAATTGGCAATCCTAAGAAATTGTCAAATATTGATTAAGAAAAATATTATCGTGATTCGCGAGGCGTATTTTTACAATATTTCTGTCAAACACACATCCAAGTGAAAAATAAATGTAATGCATCCACTCCTACAATTCCAGACATAAGCCCTTAAGATTTCAAACAAGAAATGTAAGACTTTTAAAACTTATAAGGATCCACAGGATACCTGCAAATGCATACAGAAAATATTAGAAGCCTCGACAGATTATAGAGAAAATGCTTTGTGTAAAAATTGTTCACCATCTTTCGACGGACTGCTTCCTCCCTCAAAGCAGCTTCAGTCTCATCAAACTTCTCCTCGTTGGTGAGTGGAAGCATTATGGGGAAGTTGTCTTCTTGTGACTCTGGTCCAGCTCCATGAATGTTTAGTTTAGCAAGTTCCGTCTTTATAAAGTTAATGTCACGTGAGATCTGCTTCACCTCCATACATAGCTCGGTAAGCATCTTCGTGGTTCTCATGGCAGCAATGTCTTGAAAAATAAAAAAATAAAGGTTTTAATTTACATTTCAAGGATAGATTTTTAATTTCCAATAATTTAGAATGACACTAAGTAACTCACTGATAAGTGTTTGCCAACAGTAACCATTAAAGCTGCAATATGTAACTTTCCTATTTACCCTGGATTTGAACACAGGTCTCCAGCACAACTGCTGAAATATTTACCACTGAGTTTATAGAGCCTGCCTGCTTGCTTGGGGGAGAAATTGACCATAAAGTCATAATTTTTGTCAAACCAAGGTCATGTCTCACCTAGATAAAGGATCTAAATGTCTCAATAGAAGAGCAGGGAGACCAAAATCAACCACCCCAATTTTAAGTTATATTGTATTAACACTACCATACAGATTGGACAAAATAACATTGTAATCACAAAAAGGTTACATAGTGCAGGTTTAAGTGCTTACATTTTCAGCCTTAACACCATGACAAAAAACATGAAAAGATGGGAAAGTCACAAGGGATAGGTTTCTCAATTCAGAAGGCATCAGTACGGTTAAGAACCTGCTCAGAAAATGATACTTGCCTTTCAACACTCTGCTTGATTCCTCTCCATATAATCTCCCCCGTGGTGTTTCTGGAGCTGAAGGGGGGTGGGATGGGTGCTGCGGGGTCAGGTGAGCCAAGCCCAGTGCGCTGAAGTCAGCTAATCTTGAGCCATGTGCATAGCTGGCACCGCCGTCTAAAAGACAAGACACCATTATTAATTGTTTATAAGTAAGCCATGAGAACCATTGGCCCATAGGAGCCGATATCCTGTTTCCGCAGCATGATGTACAAGTACACCCCCTGGACATGATGCTAGTATGTCGCAGGGACTTAACCCAATCCAACCCTTGATACTGAGTGCCAAGCAGGGAGATATCGGGTACCATTTTTAACAGTCATTGGTATGACTCGGTCGGCGATCAAACTCACAACCTCCCAATCTCAGGGCGGACACTAACCACAAGGCCACTGAGCTGCTATTCATTCTTTATATTAACATGAATTTGGGAATTTTCCAAAAAAAAAAAAGATTTAAGATGAGAAATACATACCATTCCTTGCTTTCTCTAATGGCATAGCGTGGTAGGGGCTGGAGTTATATGTTGGCAATCCTAGAAAAAGAGAGAAATAACTAAATAAGGCAAATGAGCACTATCAAAGTTGTTATCCATGAGCACCATATAGCAATTGCACCTAGCTAGCCCCATATAGTTACTTTCCAACTTTAGATAAAGGAGACCTGAGGGATGAACACACTTGACTACAGAGTGAGTAATTAAAGAATAGTTTCCCACCAAAGGTGCTGATAATTCCTGTGATCCAAAGATAAAAAAAAGACATATAATAGCCTATTAGTCTACTTAATAACGAGGGGTGCACTCAAGTGGCTGCCGACGACAATTTATTCAGGATACAGAAAATATGACCAACGTTTCGGAGAGACTGAAACATTGGGTCATATTTCCGGTGTCCTGAATAAATTGTCATCGGCAGCCACATGAATGTGCCTGACTTTTACACCATTAGTTTAATTACCATCATTACAGTGGTCCATTGACTGGTCCAACTCCGCCAAATAGCTTCCACAAAAGCCTACAATGAGAGAACACAAAACATGAACTATGAATGCTGTAACTCGGACAAAGCACATTTACATACTGTCCGCCCGGAGGTAGTAGTGTGAAGTAGGGGTCGACCGATTATCCAGACCGATATTCCGCATTTTACAGATTATCGCTATCGGGCTTTTTTTTTTTTTTTTTAAATCAAATTGCCGATAAAACTTTGGATCTGATGCAGCCGTTTCTCTGGTTGCAGTCACCACTCTGTACACAAGCAATGTCCCGATCCAATTCTATCAGTTTCCCAGTTACACAGGGTAGCGTCTCGTAGCGGATAAACTGTGAGGGGGGGGATTGCTAGTGGAGCCTCGCAGCAACTCTGCTTTCTGCACCACAATCTGGTGCTGCTGAATTGGGACTACTAAATGAGTGAGACTCAAATATCAGAAGTTCAGAACAAGTTTTAGTAGTTTTCATTTTATTTCTATTTCATTGACTTTACTCAGGGTCACAGAGAGGAAACCAGTTTTAAGATGTTGAAAAGTTCAGCAAACATAAAAAGGCATTTCAAAGAAGTTGTGTTGGAGTTTGTGTTATTCTACATTTTGAGACCAAGATTTTCTGATATTACTGCAAATGTATATCGGTTCCAAATATCGGTTATCGGTCTCGTTGATTACTAATAATCGGTATCGGCCTTGAAAAAGCCATATCGGTCGATCCCTAGTGTGAAGTGGTTCACTTACCATTGTCAGCCTGGTGAATTGACAGAACATCCTCCGAGTGGCTTCCTCCAGAGGCTAAAAGGGAACAAAAGACAGGAATAATGGATGCTGTAACTTTTGAACACATATCACATGACTGATGTTTGAATGTATTGTTGGAGGAACTAAATGCTTGTAAATTAAAGCTCACATGCAATTACATATTGTTCCTGCCATTTTAATAAGTAATGACATACCACTGCTTGCATTTGGGGTTGGTCCTGAGGGGTACTGGCTGGATTCTGGGAGCACTGTAGGACAATGAACATCAGGTGGCTTGGCAAATCTTCTCTTCACACAGCTGGTTTCTGACTCCCCCATCTGACTCCATGTACACAGGATTTGGCCTGGAAATAAAAATGAAACATTCAACATTCCCATTAATTGAACTAATTTGCCCCATGGCCCATTTCTGTAGAATGAGGCCGCTTGACGTACAGGTACACATAGAGATGACACTAGTCTATCACAGGACTGGAGGTGGGGTTTTTACTTATTGTTTACACAGAAACCAAGGATTATATATTTCAAGAGGGAGCGATCAAAGTAAACATCCTAAGCCTGCTTCCTCCACACTGGGAGTGCTGTGACCACTTTTCCATTGCATCTTATGAGCGGTTGGGTTCTTTTGGTTCCAGCCTATGCACGCATACTGGTTCTTATCAATGCGACGTTGTTTGATAAGGGTTAAAGTCAGGTCAGACATGGAACCTGACCTCCTACAGGAATTCAACTGTACCTTACTCTTCTTTTCCCACGTTCACCTGCTTCGTCCTCAGAGCTCAGATCAGTGGTTGGACATCCAGTATTCACATACTTTTCTTCGTATCGTTTGGCCTTTTCCAATGAGTCTGTAAAAGAAAAAGCATAAAATAATAGGATGACATTTTACTGACTAGTCTCACTTGTGACACATATGTCATATGTGGTATGGCACCACACACATTCAAACTGCCATCCATAAAACGTGTGGATACCTATATACTTGAAAATAGACAATAGTAATGCAGTGACTACTTACCACAAGTAATCAAGAGCCGGACATTCGCATATGTGGTCCATCCTTTATGGGCCGTCATGTGTTCTTTAAGGGCCTTCAAATACATGTTTTTTGGGGGCCATAACAATTTACCTTCCTTTAGACTGAACCAGCTGGCAAGAACTGTTGCAGCTCCGCCATTTGGAAAAAGTACAACGGCCCAAAGCACCACCTCCCTTTCCATTCTGTATACAATAAAGGAAATAATGTAAATGATTAAAAAAAAAACCTGCTCATAAATCATAAGATGTAATTTACTCGCCCAGCAGTATGAGCGGTATGCTACTGCATATGAGCTATTGGAATAGCTATGAGGCCATTTCCTTCTGACTCTGGATACAGAACACATTTACGTTTGATACATCCAAGTTTACCAACCCCGATATTGTCACACAACTCTCTAACCTTGTATGTACCTATGCATGAGGACTCGCAGGGATAAGTGTAATATGATTCTTGGTGTCTGAACCTTTTGTAGATCACATATACCTCATCTTCTTCCTGGACTATATTCTGCACTACTGCAATACTATGTCCCACCTCAATACAATTATCCCCCTGCTTTGTAGACAAGGTAAAACGACTACTGGAGACCTTTGTGTACTGTACAGCAACACCGAAATGTTGAGGGAGTGGACCATCAGTGTGGATTTTCTGTAAGACTGGTTCATCTGTTGGTAATGGAACCTCACAACGTGGCTGTTCTGACAACCTTTTGACCACCTGTTGTAGAGGTTGGTGTGGCTTGCGTAAAAGATGCTTTATTTGGCCAAGATAATTCTCAAAAGGGAATCCTGAAACATTATCTAAAGGTCCAAATTGTTTGTATTTATCGGCTAAATGTATAAGCTGGTGTACACTGAACACAATCTGATCCCTGCCATACAACTGTCCAAAGTGTTCCACAAAGGAAATCATCAATCTATGCGCTAATTCAACCTTTTGGCCAGAAATTCCAGGAGACAAAAACAAATACATGGCCACTGAAAACAACATAAAGTTGTCATAAATCTCACTGGGAAGGCAATCCTTCAGAACTACAGGGCCCCAGTACAGTATGAAGGATCGGAGCTCTGTAGCTTTCCAACGATCCAGCTCATTCAAACCCCTTGGCTTGCGATTGAATTCACAAGGGGTGTGGGAATGTAACCCCAGCAGTTTGCTTGATATACTGTTAACAGTTTGTGAAGGAAGCCTAGTGGCTAGATTGCCCTTTAACCACATATTCAACAGTTTTCTCATCACACCAAGACAACAGAGGTGCATATAATCTATTGGGAATGAAGAAACCATCTTTACTGTCCCTGTTAAAGGACTGAGTGTCTGTTTCAAGTGATGTTCTTCATCAATCATATCACAATAACTTGAGTCTGTCCTGAGCCTGACATTTGTTTCAGGATAAGTCATTTTCTTCCTCCACACACCATGTTGATCACACTTGTCACACCCTGAATAGCCATTATGTGACTTGATATTCTTAACGTAGGCTCTGGCTGGAGCATCACACACAAATGAGGAAACCAGTACTTTCAATCGGTTACCATTATGAACAACGCCATTAGCCAGTACATTTTTAAGGTCGCTAATAAATTGCTGCAGATACTCAACAACACACTTGGGCTTGCTTAAACCACAAAAGATACCGACAATAAATGGGGACTTAGTATAATCACATTTCAGAATTGCAAGTATAGGCCAGAATTGAAGTCTTGAACTCTTAAAGAGAGGGAGAACATCTATGTTGAACTGTAAAGTAAGAGTTCTGAGGCTCACTGGTAAACTCAAACATTTCAATCGTGAAAGTATCCCTTGCACCAATCCAAAATGGTAGTACTCGCCACCTTGCATTTGAGTGGTTGCAACATCATGTTGTGTTCTAAGCAGAGTTCTTCCATCCTTAGGGAGCATAGGGTGAAAAAGCTTTAAGATGGACAGCAGAGCAGACAAAGCAACCAGACTGATTGAGTAGGATGTTGCCCAATATCTTAGGCTCCTCATAAGCAGATCCTGACTAGGCTGATGCTCGTCATGGCTGTCGGAGTCAGAATCTGATTCAACATTCCCAGCCACACTCCCAGCCACACTACCAATGATGATCAGTATGATCATTTCCCATTTGTACAAGATCTGATTCAACTTCATCATCTCCAGCTAAACTACTATCAGTATGATCATTTTCCATGTGTACATGGGAAGCTAGTGGTGTATCTAGTTGGGAAACGTGTGAGATTCTGAAGGGTGGTTCCCTATTCACACAGGGGTCTAAATGTGACTTGTTATTATAAAGAGTTTCCTCGTATTCCTTAAGGATATCTTTCTCCATGTCCCTTACAGTTCTGATGACTCTACGTCTTTTAGACCAATAAGAAGCCATCTTAGGTAAAGAGAGGTGGCGCTGCTATAATTACTTTACTTGGCCTTGTGTATTGCAGTGATCCCCTTGACTCGTCTTGTAGTATAATCCTGAAAATGGAGGAAAACAAAGCAGATTAAAAAACAGTATGCATAAACTAACAGTACAAATATATATCAGCCTCCTGGTGCAATGCAAATATAACTGTACTGACGAAATTCCCTAGAATTACACGTTTTATTCCATGGGTCTTCAACCAGGAGTCCAGGACCCCTAGGACATACATTTTACCCAAATATCCTATATGATGCTTTAGCTTGACTGTATCAGACCAACTTTGATGTAATTTCTGTAGGATGTAGGGATGCCAGAAACTGACCATGATCAAAATCGGCGGGGTCGGTGTGTAGCAAGCTGCAGCAGCAGTCTGTGCAGGGCAGCCTGCGCTGCTGGCTTCCTCCAAGTTTTACAGTCAAAACTGGTGTTGTGACCAATGGCCATTTACAATTATTAATACTATTACTATTATTATTAGTCTATATTTTGGTTGAAACTAAGCCAGAAAAAAAAAAAAAAAAACATAAATAATAAAAAAATATATAAATAAAATCGAATTTTAAAAATAATCTTCGATTATGGAGACTGTAACGAATAATAGATTAATCGCTGGCATCCCTAGTAGGATGGTAGTTTAATGTCAGATTGTGTTATCTAGTGTATCTGCTGCGTTAGCTAGGTGCTAGCCAGGGCAAGAAAAATATCAACTGCGTCATGCGATGAACTGTTTAATTAAGTTATGATGTTGACTGGCGAAAAACTCTGCCCGGTTCCCCAGGCCCCCACCGCGGAGAATAAACAGAAGGGCAACCATGACAACCATGCTTCTTCGCTGCTTTTGTGGAGGAAGTTACAGCGCCACATACAGCCTCCTGCATATGTACTGCAGCTTCTCCAGTGGTTGGAGCTAAACGGAGCTGTCTCGTGTGGACAGACTCTAGGCTTGTTTGAGACAAGCAAGACCTGTTGCGATCAACGTCTTGCTAGTGCGTTGCATGATGGTTAGTCATTTTGTCCGACTTGCTCTGGAGGCCCGCCCACATGAGACTTTGAAATTTCGCGGGACAAAGACGCCCGCAGCCTTGAGAGCGAGGCGAGGCGAGTTGGCGCAGTTGCTCTCCACGGGCTGCGGAAGCGAAATGCTTGATGGGAAACGGCTCGCTGGTATCTCGAGCTGAGCGTTCATTGGTGGTTTTTACCACATGCTGCTGATGAAACTCTCCAATTGGCTGGCAAAAGTTTGTTGTTGTTTTGTGTCAGTTTTACGTCGCCACATCCATTCCCATTTTTCATCATTGTTCCACAATGTTTATCATCATGAAATTAATATCTATATATTTTATACTATACTGCTTACCGTTTTCATACTTTATATATCTTAGCATATTCATACACACTGTTCATACTGCTCACAGGCTGATATCTAGTGTATTCATACCCCACTGTTTATTCATCATTCAATTCATTCTATATGTTATTCTGTAGATTGTGTACATTACTTTCCACTTCACTGCTTGTTGCACCTGGTTAGAAGCTAAACTGCATTTCGTTGTCTCAGTACCTGTAATATGTGCAATAACAATAAAGTTTCTCTTTAAGTTAAACCAAATCATTAAAATAAAATCTATTGTAATGATTTGGTTTAACCTTATTTATTGAATACATCATTTAAAATGGCAAGATTAAATCAAATTACATCCATGTTGTACACATCATAAAGCTTAAAGTGGCAGCTAAAGAATTAACACAGCAGCAGGTCTGTTCAATTCATGCTCATTAAGCTTCATGTGTGCGGATCTGAAGGGACTGATCATTTGTAGCCTGTCCACCTATCAGTTTTGCAAACATTAAGAGGGAGGAGCATTTATAATTATGGAACCCAGTCACTGGTGTGGTTCATCATCATGACTGAATTAACAAACCTATATAAAGCCATGGAGATCACCTTTGTCTACAGTGGGTAAAATGGAATTTGTGGTGCTTACACTGTGTGACGAACAGGGAGACATCACTGTAAGAGTCTCACAAGACATTTCCCAAAGACTACAAAATGGTGAGTAAACAACTAAATTGCATTCCAACAATCTGGATATGATTTTAAATGATGTAAATTATTATGTGAGCTCTTTAAAAATGGTCACAAATCTGATTTCTGTGCAACACTGCATCTTGGTTCTGGGGATGCGGTGCCCTGTTGTCTGCTGCTTCAACCTGCTCATCAACTTCAATTGCTTCCCCTTCCTCCAAGCACATGTTGTGAAGTATGCAACAGGCAGTGACTGCTGTGCTAATGTTTGCAATGTTTTTCATGTACAAACATTTGAGCCTCCTGAACTTCGTTTTCAGTAGGCCAAAGGTATGCTCAATGACCACGCGTGCAACATTTAATTTTTGATTGAAACGACGCTGCCGAGCAGTTAAATGGCCATTGTCCCTGTATGGCCTCATAAGCTGAGGGTAGTGGGTAGGCAGAGTCCCCAATGATGTGCATTCCCTCAGGCACCAGGGACTGGGGATCTTCATCAAGCAGCCTTCCAACAGCAGACAACCGGAATGCCCGTGCATCATGCCAGCTACCAGGGTGGCCCACATTAACATGACAGAATCTCCGTTTACTGTCACAGAACCCAGTAAGCACAACAGAATAAAACTGTTTTCTGTTGATGTATGCTACTGGGTTCTCACAGTGTGGTTTCACAATAGGAATGTGGCATCCATCTACCGCACAGACAGTGTTGGGAAATCCTGCTGCACAAAATCCTAACTCAGAATTATGTAGGGCTTGCCCTGTGGGCCAGGAAATGTGGTGAGACAAATATGTGGTGACAAGACTACAGAATTCATGGAGATGCAGGCAGACAGTGGATTTGGTGATATTGAAACGATCAGCAACCCCCCTATAGGACTCCTGGTTTGATAGAGTCCACAGACAGGCAAGAACACTGTTTTGAAGCGGCACTTTACTGTGCTGTCTGTTCCAGTAGAACGGGCCAATAGTCGTCATCACATCCTGTTTGGTAGAAAGGAATAAATGGCTTTTAATATCACCAGTCCAGATAATACATATTTGATGTTATTTATATATATATATATATATATATACACACACATACTTCCACATGTCCCCTGGACAATTGGAAATGACTTTTGAAGTCTGAAGGACTGTACTGTGGGACCACTTCTTCCACAAATTGTTGGACCTTTGGAACGGATCTAAGGAAGGCAGACACAGGAGCAAATGATGACCATAAATCCTTAGACCTATTCAACATTCTTTATATATATATATAACTGCTGCTGCTGCTGTAGGCCTATATTATCTTCACTTGATTTCAGTTGTATTCTTGTTTATTTATTGTATCTTTGTACTACTATCTTGCTTGCTTTCTATATCTTTAGTAAAGTAGCTTTTATCTTATCCCATTGGACTAAAAAAGACTAATAGTGTCATAATTTTGCACAATTTGTGATCTGTAGAGTAAAGTAATCAGTCCGGATAATCGATCATACTTTTTAATTTAGACTGATGCAACAATATATTTTGTCTTTTTACTTGTGTATATTGTGTATCTGTTTTTGTTACCTGCCTAGGTAGCCTACTACGGATGTAAATTAGCACGTTTGCTCAAACACATTTATACTTCTTGTATTTTATACTGATGTTCATTAACATGCTCTGTCCCTATCAAATTAAAAAATAAAAAGATACGTAATTACCTCCGCAGACGGTGTTCATCATGCCATTCTCCATACAATACATGTGGGATTTCTATTGCATCCACTTCATCTGCAACGAAAACGCCAACGCAATTTCCGCCATTGCAAACCCAGCCAGTCAAGCCGACTCCGACTCCAAGCTGTCCGATTTAAGACGAGCTTTTTGACACCTCCCCCGGCTGCGATCGGCTACTCTCGTCTACTTTCGAGGCGAGCCGCAATGTGTCTCAAACAAGCCTACTATCCGGATGACTATTGCGTGTGGACGGAAGCTTTTTTGCGATTGCGTTTGCGTTAATCCTATGCGTTTAGCCGTTTTCGTCCTCGTGTGGCCGGGGCATTAATGTGGAGAAAGAGATGTCCTGTATGGGTTGATTGTGCGTTGATCTGTTGGTAATGCCTCGGGGTTCCGGTGGGCATGTAAACAAATGCATAATGCTGTGCTATACTTTGTGGCCTCACCCGGTTGCATAGTGACACTTATTGTTTAGGTGTCTTTTAATTAGCAGGTAGTCATACCATTAGCTAGAACTAGCTGGATCTGATCGATATGGACATAAACGCGAGTGAAGTCTAATCTGACGGGAGAGAGAGATCAGCTGCTGCTGACGAGTCGACACGCAGCTCTGCATGATCACATGCAGCGGTGAGCGGAACAAAACACACACTTCAGGTTAGAATATCACACGTAGCTATTTTAATTACCTCTCAAACTACCTAAACTAGTTATAGATATGTTTAGTTTTACTGTCGGGTCACTCATTACTGGATCCGCGAGCTGCATGATACTGCTGCATGATACTGGCATAATAGATTGCCCGATCGGGCATCCAGCAGGTGAGGCTTCATTGCCCGAGCTAAATACTAGATGGCCCCGGGCCATCGGGCAGTCCTTAATATCGAGCCCTAAAAGCGCCTGCATGAGCTGTAGATTCATGCCTCGGGCGCTCAGAGTGGCTAGAGTCGCAGAGGTGGCACCTCTCCTCGTCATAACTTCCTCCAGCTCAGTCTGATCGTTCCCGGCGACTTGATGGAGGGATGGCTATGGGTTCACCCCCCAGGTAGAGGGCTAGAAACAGGCTGTCCTCTAAGGTGGGTCGGTTAGCTGCCGTCATGGAGCAGACAAAGTCGCTCATGTTGGCCCTTCAGCCAGGGGCCGGTGCGGGGGCTACTAGCTTGCCGCCTGGCCCTCCTTCGGTTGCCACACCTCTACTTGAGGATGCCATGTCGCTAGCGGCTCCGGACAAACCTCTTCTATGAAGGGGGGGGGGGGGGCCGACTCGGCTCAGGCTAGCGCCTTTGTAACGGAGGTGATCTCTGGGGCCATAGATCTCGGCCTCCGTTACGGATTGTGTAGCTTTGTTGGTGGCGAAATGTAGGTAGTGTGTGCATCTGTATGTGTTTTAGTTGGTCTGTCTCTGTTTGCTGGTTTTATGTTAAAAGTGTTCCCTTTCCCCATGTCTGTGGCTGTTGATTGTGTGCACCTGATGCCCTGTGTTGTCTCCTCCCCCCCCCCACCTGTGTCTAATTGCTGATTAGTGTGTGTATTTAGGCCCTGGTGCCCTGTCTGTTTGGAGGCTGGTAGTGTGTGGGAGATCCCTGTGGTTGGTGACGGTGTGCACATGTTCAGCAGGATTGAGGCTGTGTGTCATGTGTTCATGAGTTAATAAATGCCCACACCGGGTTGTATTTGGACGTTCTGCCTCTGTCTCCTTGTCAGCTTCACAGCCTTTTTCAGGCATAACCCTGCCCCTTTTCACTCCCACTGTTCCTCCTTCAGAGGAGTACCTGAGGGAGCTCCATGCAGGCTGGAGAGACACCAGGGCCCTCTCCCACTCTGCTGCCAGGCAGAATCCGGCGAGGGTGGGGCTGGGTTGCTTGCCATCCATTGAGCCTGCCATCGCCTCCCCGATTCGGGCTCCTGATGCCAGGTGCCCTCGGCCTCAGTGCAGGGTCACAAACGAGCTGCTCTGTAGGGCCTACGACACAGCGGCACACATCTGATACTGGCTTTCTCTACCTCTCTGCAGCAGGCGCCGGCTGAGCCTTCTTTGCTGGGCCTCAGTGATGCATCACTGTAAGCCTTTGCCCTAATGTCTAGGGAATGGGGACGAGTTATGTCCTTATTGGTGCAGACTCGTCGCCAGGTCTGGCCTACGACCGTCCCCGAGACTCTCGGGGACGGTCGTCAGCTGCTTTCCCAGCAGCAGCTCAGTTACTGGGCTGTCTGTACTTCCGACCCTTGGGTGGTTTTCACCTTAACCCAGGGGTACGAACCGCAGTTCCGGCCCCTAGCCTTCGGCCGGGCCAAAATGACAGTCGTCAGCGATCCGGCAGAGGCCCTAGCTCTGGCCCAAGAGTTGTCCGTCCTTCTGTCCAAGGACGCAATCGAGCCAGTAGACCCTCTGCTTAGCCCAGGGGGTTCTACTCGGCGTACTTTCTCGTGAGCAAGAAAGTCGGCGAATTTCGCCTGATCTTGGACCTCAGAGGAATCAACAGATTCTTGAAGGTGCTGCCACTCTATATGCTGACCACAGCACATGGACAGCCGTGGAATTGAGGGATGCCTACTTCCACGTGGGCCGGGCAACATGGTGACTTATATTCAGTTCCTTCGGCCCTTGGGCAGGCTGCCTCGGCCATTGGGCCCGCTGGCGTTGCGCCCCATGCAGATGTGGCTGAACAGCCTTCACTTGGACGCCAAGTGGCACAGGCAAGTCAGGGTGTCGCAGCGTTGCCTCCACTCTCGGTCACACTGGAGGGGCAGGGCCTATCTCCTGATGGGTGTGCCCATGGGCGCCATCCCATCCCGCCAGGAGACCGTCACCATAGGTGCAGGTCTCTCAGGGTGGGGTGCATTACGGCAGGGCAGGACCGTTCAGGGTCAGTAGTCTGCCCAGGAGGGTGCACGCCATGCCAACGTGCTAGAGCTTCGGGCTATGCAGCTTGCACTCACGCACTTTCTACCCCTACTGGGGAGCAAGAATGTGCGTGTTCCTTGGGACAGCAGTACGCTGTTGCCCGGACAGCAGTCCCTTCTAGACAGTGGGCGTTCTCACTCCACTCTGAATTTATGTGGTTGCTATTTCTGCCCGACATATTCGGGTCGACGGTGCCACGGCGGGGTGCCACAGGTCGGTGTCCCTCTTCCTGAGAGGGGCTTTACGGCAGCATCCCCCTAGCACCCCGAGGGCTCCGGCTTGGGACCTGCCCCTGCTGCCGGATGCCCTATCATCTCCTCCCTTTGAGCCCCTGGCCCAGGTGGAGCTTAAGTGGCTGTCCTTAAAGGCAGCATTTCTGCTTTCCATGACCTCAGGGAAACGAGTTGGAGAGCTATGCCCTCTCCGTGAGCGATACATGCCTGAGGTGGAACTCCGATGGCTCGGGTGTTGCCCTCTGGCCGAACGTGGCGTTCCTGTCCAAGGTGCTTCCACTAGCCCACTCCAATCGGCCTATCCAGCTGGCGCGCTTTAACGTCCCACAGGAGAACGGCACGCCTGAGTTGCTGTGCCCTGTGCGTGCCCTAGAGGCGTATATTGGTGCTACTGCCCATATACGGCAGCTCTTCATTTGCCATGGCGGCACGAGAAGGGGCTGTGCTCTCTCCAAGCAGCGGCTGTCCCACTGGGTTGTGGATACAATCTCACATGCCTGTGGGGCCAGTGGCCGCCCCCCACCATCAGGGGTGAGATGTCACTCTACAAGGAGTATCTTAACGTCTTGGGCTGCCCTGAGAGGGGTGTCCCTGGAGACCATCTGCGCTGCGGCGTCATGGGCATCGTCTGGCATATTCTCCAGGTTCTACCGGGTCAATGTCGCCACTCCCCATCCTTTGGGCGTGGTCCTGTTGCCGAGCTCGGCTGCTTCCAGCTAGGTAAGCAAGTGTTCGGATTCTTCATGACATGGTTGGTATAGTCATCCAGTGCTAAAAGCACCACCTCTGGCGGTCAGTAGGGACGAAATAGAACGATAGTTACGGCTGTAACTACGGTTCTATGAGTCCCGGAGGACCGCCAGAGTTTCCGGTCACTCAGAATTCTTGTGTGCTCGCGAGAAGATTCTGGGAACCGTTCCACTAGTGACGCCGGCCTATGTAGCCGTAGTCACGTGGGTCACAGGTGACTTTGTTGTTATTAGGTACTCGAACTGCACATGCGTGCGATGGACATATCCAGTGCTAAAAGCACCGCCTCTGGCGGTCATCCGGGACTCATAGAACCGTAGTTACAGCCGTAACTATCGTTCTTATTATACATCCATGGGCTAAACGGATTGGTTGTACTTTTTACAGTATTATGGCTTCCACAGATGACTTTTTTATGGATTTTTTGTTAAAGCACTTAAGATATTCATTGCTATCGGGATGTTAAGAACATTCCATGGAATATAACAAAAAGTGTACCTCGAGCCGGTTTCTGAAACTTACCTACCCCACCTTTAAGAAGACTAAAGAGTTTTACTTTATAGGGCTAGGAAAATGAATACTTATTTCCACAACATTTCAGACACACCTTGCAGATATTTGCACTTTTCAATTTTGACTGAATTCAGAATAAAAGAGGACCAGATTATGAAAAGAAAACTTTATTTAACAAAGAACCAATATTTATACAAACACATGTGATTTTCTCCCTTAAAAAATATTTTGTTAGTCTTCTTTTTTTTTAGTATGAAATTATTAAACTCGTTTCAATTGTATCCCTACACTAGATGGAATTTGTTTGACATTGTGCAGAAAACTAAAAACATCAAAAAATGTACAAAAAATTGAAAAAAAGGCAAAGAGTTAGAAGATACAGTCATTTGACAAACAACAAACGATAAATTACATTCTTAAATTGACTCATCTGATTTCATGTTATGTGACAGCATAAATAAATCATTGATTTTAAATTAAATAGCCTATTGAGAGGAAAAGCTGCTAAGGTGTGAGATGTATGAAAAGCTACACAAACAAAATATGAAAATGTTAAACTAGATAAAATAAAGTACAGTGCATCAAAACAGGACTTTGGTGGCAACACTGCTGTGTGCTCTAAGAATGGAACCAGTCAAAGAAGCCATTTATGCTTCCATCACAAAAGTCTTTGGAAATCGATCATTTGTACAAATGTTTTTCCCCGGACCGGTGCAGAATCCTGCGGCCGCTGCACGTCTTCAGTCTCTTGCTGAACAAAGAGACTAAGAACTAGAGAGAGATCTTCTCCTCGACACACCTCAGTGACTATGGGGGGGAATTCTGTTTATGTTACTTTATGTTTTATTCACAAGTCGTAAAGTGACGTTGAAGTTAAAGGTGCCGTGTGAATCATTTCAACATAAATAAAGCTTTACCGTGCTTCTCGGGATGTTAGCAATTTTCATTTTCGTCATGAATAAGTACAGGTACTGCTGCTGTTTTACATTATGTGCCACCGGGGTGAAAATAAGGAGATATCATGTGGGGATGTTTTTTTAAACGGGCACAAATTTGGATCTTTCCACAAAAGGAGTTTGTTTAAAGGGTTTTGTGAGTCTCGATGCACAGAACGATGTATTGGTTGGAGCAGCTCCTGGTCTGCTGGCCCAGGAGCAGACCTGAGGTCAGGCTGGAGGACTGCCCCATGACGGACAAGTGGTCTGCCCGCCACGTCTCGCAGTGTTTGTCCACCACCCGGAGACCCCTGGAGCTGGAGCCGTGCCACATGCTCTTCTGAGGCCTGGAGGAGGGGCGACAGGATATCAGAATATATTGAAAACGTACTGCCTATGAACAGATTGGTTAATTATTTGGTAAGCTCTTAATAGAGTGCCGCAGTGACGCATCCTAAAACCCGGAAGTAAACTCCTTCCGGTTCCTTCGACAAAAACTAATGCAATTTCTCCATAGGATTTTGGAAATAGCTGGAAATAAGGTCTGTTGTTGACAAAAATTGAAGAGACAGATCACGTTTTGTTCAGCCGGATAATATCCACATGTCTACCTTATTTTTATAATGTTCGAATCATAAATCTATCGATTAGATTTGAGCTATTTTCCAAAATCCTATGGAGAAATTGCATTGGTTTTTGTCAAAGGAACCGGAAGTGGTAAAATGCTAACTTACTTCCGGGTTTTAGGATGCGTCACTGTGGCACTCTATGGTCTTGGTCCTATCTATTTTCAAAATGTGCTGTTAATTGTTTACCTTTAATGTTTAATTCAGCATTAATATCTAATTAATACTAATATTCATACTTGTTGCACCCAGCTTTTGTGTATGAAAAGTGCTATATATACAAAGCGTAAATGATTGACTGAATGAACAGAACATTTTAGCTTACCAGAAAGGATCAGCTATAACGTCCCGACCGTCGAAAGAGTAGAGGGGTATTCTGGCATCCAGCGGCCCCCCGTCGCCTGTGAAGATTTCTCGCCAGTTCCTAAACATCACATCTCCCTGAAAAGAAGACGCAGAGTGAGTTAGATACAGCCACTTGTCTGTGGAGGGATACAGCATGATGCAACTTGAATGCAAATAAGTCCCATTTCTGTTGTTTAATTCTGTACAAAGTGTGGAGATTACTGATGCCATAATATCCCTATCTAGAAAGTGCCATTAAAGTTGCTTCTTACTAAGTGATTCTCAGAAATTTGATATACATCTTACACATTTTTTAATTGCAACCCACACCATTTTGACTATGTGCAATGCCTTGTTAGCAAGCTGCTGCAACAACAACATGTCCCAGTTTGGGATCAATCATTTACATCTAAACAGAGCAAGGTGGCCGACTCACCCTGAGGTTGGTCACTGGCAGATTCTCCCTGAACCCGGGATAGACCACGTGAACCAGGTCCTGCCTGTTGGAAGAAATGAAGGCGCGGTAGTTTGGAGCCAGACCCATGGCCTTGGCCTGCTCGTAGCACAGGCGGTCGGCCGTGTCTAGCCCCGTCATGTGACCCGAGTGAGGCTGGTTCAGAGCCACCAGGGTCAGCTGCAGGGGGAGAAGATGGTTATTGATACCGAATATCTGTTAAGTGACTTATTTAGGCTGTCAGAGCGGAGTAAAAAGCAAGCAGTTCATTTAAATGACACCACTCATGGCACTCACCCTTTCATTAACGGAACGTATTCTTTCCATCGTCTCTCCTCTTATCTGATATGCAATGCGAGGCTAAACGAATAACAAAAATACATGTTAATTGGATAAATACTGCATACAAATATTGTTTCTTTTACTCAGCAAAAGCAATGACATTTTAAAAAAAAAAGTACCTCATCTTGAGGGATAATGTTATTGGAGAGGTAGATCAGACTTCCAAGCTGTAGAGATAAAACACAGAAGAATTAAGCATCACATGTCATTTGTGTAATTTGAGCTCATGCTGTCTTTATATTTAATGTGCTGTAAGTACAACTAATAGCCGTCAAAGTCCACTTCAACTGAGTTTCATGAAATACGCTTGATTTGTATCATAAAGAGAATTTTGTCAAACCCTTCCTTCTTTAATGATAGAAGATTTTCCCAAATAGTGAGACTAGGCCCTTGTGCTTCTAAATTCGCTTTGGTATTGAGATCATTGCTTATCTTAAGCACAGAGTGATTAGATGTCAGATTTATAAATACCTGGATCTCTTTCCAGCCCTGAGAGACTTTGATGAAGAGACTTCCTGTTGACGTGACGTAGGCCATGGTTCCCTCTGCGTCTCTGACCGTGTGCTGCATCATACTCTCACGGGACGTAAATGTCTTCATCTGAAGAAAAAAGAGAGGAGAAAAACTCAAACCATCTCTGGAAACTTGTTATTCTAATGAAATTGTGAAATCACTCAAATGTTAAGAGCATGCTGGTGTATCACTGTTGTTTCAAGGAAATGGCCTTGGTTGTCCTCCAGGGCTTGTTGATCCGATCTATTTTTTGCATATATTATATTTTCTGCTCCATTAGAAGAAACAAGTTCACTTACAGATGAAGAGCTACCCGAAGGTCCAGAAGGTCCAGGAGGTCCGGGGGGGCCGGCAACGGTCAAAGCTACCGGAACAAATCTACATTTTAGCCCAGCACATTATAACCGTTTGAATCTCATCAGCTACTAGAATGATATGTGAACCTGGAAGATTTCTGTACGATATAACAAGCAGGTACAACTTGAACAAATGTATTAACAGTAAATGACAGTTTCATGGCAGATGGTTTCCCCCCCGGATTACATCTCGCCCAGTTGCCCTTTAGTCTTGATGATTCAATAGCAAATGCTTTAACATTAACACATTTAATACCTAAAACATAGTTATACCGTCAAAAACGTGTTGCAATCCAAATTTTCAGAATTCCAGCATCTTACTAGAATAATACTGCAGTAAATAATGAAATATATGACCTTATACCAGAACCCTAACAAACAGAATCATAAGCTTGGTCAACCTATGTCAATATAGAAAATGATACAAAAACAGTGGTATTAATTTGATTGATCCTCAAGACTGTTATCTTTCATGCCGACATAATCATTTTTTACTCAAATACAAATATGTTCTTAAGTGGCTCTTACAATGAATTGTACCTGAGCCGTATCTTAAGGGGGTCCCAGAGGGTCCCGGGGGCCCTGGGGGTCCAGCAGGGCCCACCGGTCCTGGTCTGCCATAGCCGGGGAACCCCGGTGAACCCGGCACCCCGGGAGGGCCCTGGGGTCCGATCACAGACTCTCCTTTGGGGCCCTGAAATGCGTCAGGGAAAGTGAGTCTTGGGAAAACTCAATTAAGAAAATATTGGCAATTCAATTAATTTAACAAAACTCACCACAGGTCCGGTTCTCCCGGGGGTGCCTGGTGTTCCGGAGAACCCTCCCTCGCCCCTGTCTCCCTTCTCTCCCTGAAGGCCCTGGTCACCACTTGACCCCTGTCATAACACACACAGGTGAAGCACATGAGCTGATACATCTGATGGCACATGAGGCAAGCTCGTCTCCAATCTAAATCAAATCAATAAACACATCCATGAGACTTACCCAGCCTCCCCTTGAAAGAAATGAGCCTGGAAACAAAGAGCAGGAAGTTAAAGCTAATAATAACAACATAGTAATAATTAATATAATGCAACATAAGTTTTACAGGAAGTTGGAAACATTGGGGAAGTAAAGAAAAAATTAAAAGTCAGGCCTTGAAATCCAATCATTAAAACACACATCATAGATTTGTATTTCTGTACTTTTTATTGTGGATTTTTCTTTCTGGTTGGTGTTATCTAAAGTTATTTCCAGCTGTTATAAATGTTCACTTACTTTGTGGTGCCGGCAGCCCAGGAAGACCTCTCTCTCCCCTTTCCCCTTTATATCCCGTCTGACAGTTACCTGTGAGACAACAAGAGCACAACTTAAAGTATTATTTTTAAACTTTGTTGATTCAGAGGTTAATTGAAGTAAAAAAAAATGATATATATATTTATATTGCAGGTACGCGTCCTGAGACTGAAATGAGTATTTCGGTAATCTTGATATAAATCATAGACTTTATTATTTATGGGAAACATAAGAGATGACACCACCTACCTACTGCAACAGTTCCATCAGGATTACGCTGAAATATTTGAGCAGAAACACATCAACAACAGTCAATGAATTCAGAAATCTTAGATAATTACCAGTATAATTCGAGAGAGGCAAATGTGAAAAAAATAATAATTGTCAATCCATTTTTAATGTTTGGTCTAAATGATATTGTCCCTTTTTTTTAGGTTTACATTTCTCCATGCTTACAATACTTACACAATGTACATACAGTATACCTGCAAGAAAACAAACGGTAGTACGGTAGTAGTGCACTTTCAAAATTGGTATTTCAAGAAGAAATAACAACGGCCAACAGCTTGTTTTGCACCTGGCAAAACAGTTTTCTTACATTTTCGCAGATAAAACAATAATAGTGAATTCAGAAAATTATCCTGGTTTTTAAAAAAAAGAACTCATCACCAGATTTGGTTTTCTCACTTGCCTCTCAGGTTATCTGTACAACATCACTTTGCTAAACAGTTCTACATTGCATTATCAAATAATAAAATCACTTCTTTTCTATTGTTAATATTATAATCAACATGCAAATGACCAATGCTCATTTTCCTTAGATGTGATTCAAATACTACCTTCTGTATGTATTTGCAATGAGCCTTCAATTTCCCAGAGTGGACATGCATCATGCAGGAAAGATTCAGAGCCATCATGGCACCGCTCTGAGTGATAAAAGGTGAGGGGGGGGGGGTACCAGTACCAGTTACACAGAGAAACATGCACTTTATATGTAGACAAAAGGAAAGGAAGTTATTAGGATATATGTGTGAATGGGCTCAGCAGGCTGTTAATGTGATACTTAAGTTATGAGACTAAGAATGCAGATTAGATTTCAATCAATAAGGAAATTAAACATGCATAGTATCTTCGTTAATCGACTACAATTAATGTTTTTTAAACCCTTAGTCCACCATGAATTTATGATTTGGGATATAGAGAAAGCGGGAAACACATTTATGAAGACGTGCTTTACATGTCGTTTGGTTACAGAGACAGAAACTTACAGTCTGTTTGCAGTGGGGTCTTGGGGGGAGGGGGAACACGGTCTTCAGAAACCAGAGGAGAGGGAAAGGACGGTGAGTAAATATTATGTACGATATGACTGAGGAGAATTAAGTCAGAACTGTGTGTAAGAGCTTCACTTTGGATGAACAATATGGCGCAACCCCACACCTACCTGCAGAGAGGAACCACATGTTTTAAGCCATAGTCCGACTGGAATCCTGAATATCCTTCCGTCTAGCTCTCAATTCTTTTTTAAAATATATATATTCAAAGAAGTTTTACAACCTTAAGTCTACAAAAGTCTCTGCATTGTGATAACAGACAATGTGACACTATCTCTGACATGTGCTTTCCTGTACCGACTGATCATCCAGTTAGCTCGTATTTTATTAACTGAAGTGTTTTTACGATAGATTGTGTGAATTGTATATACTGTAATATGTCATTTCCATGATTTAAATCTTCTTAAACAATGTGCCATTCTTCAAATGTTATCAAAGTTATTTCGTATTCATGCGTTTACTTGCTGCTAATCATTATTGAATGATTAAAATGTGTTCATCTATTATTATTACTTGCCTATACATAATTCATGATATTACAGACAATAAAAGCCTCCAAAAAAATCCCAACCTGATAACCCGGGCAAGCGACGCCAGATTCAGGCCCGGGGGAGAACTTCAAAATAATTCAGCGCTATCAGGTTTGGGTGGAGAATCAAAGCTCTACAACTTGTTAAGGAATGTGTGTGTGCGTTGGCGTGCATGTGTGTGTGTGCGCGCTTACTCCTTTGGGGCAGTTGAATATTCCTGGGCGGCCCGGCAGCCCTGCAGGGCCCGGAAGTCCCTAAACAAACAATTAAAGAAGACAAAAAACCTCAGAAAATTGGAGAAAGAAAGAGACATTTCAACAATCTAAAGTATACATTGATTTAAAGCGACAAAGTCATATTAAGTATTCCATCACATATCAATCACTACAGGTTTCCTTTCCATATTCTGATCCAGTATTTTAGTTTTATTCTACTCACCGGCAGGCCTGCAGCGTCCCCTCTCTCTCCTTTAAGCCCCATCCTGCCTGGACGACCCTACAACACATATCTTTTTTTAATCTGGATTTCCTGATCAAAGAACCAACCGGTAATATCAGAAAGTGTCAGTGCACATTTTAACCAAATGAAATATCTTTGGTGAGTTCATGGTGCTTACAGGTCTTCCAGGAAAACCAAACTCTCCCTTTGGTCCTGAAGGTCCGGTCGGGCCCTGTTGGGAACACGACAATGTGACTGACAGTACTTTTAATGCATTCAAAGAACCTTTATCTATAACAGTGGAAATAAAAGGAACGCTCATGGTGCTATAGAACATTAAAAGGTGACTTTTTTGCTGCTAATACTTACTTGAATTCCAACAGGTCCAGGTAAACCATGATCACCCTGCAAACAAATAAACATTTTAAAGGGACTTTACAAAAATACATTACGAGCAACCAACAAACATCATTTCAGATGTGAAAAAACACAAGATCCAATGAAAAATGAATGCTTTTGACTTATTTTACAAAAAGTGTGATTTATCCTGAACAACATGCATACATAGATAAATACCAATAGTAAGCTCAAACACAAATGAAAACAACAATTATTAGAATATCTAAAGTAAAAAACGAAATATAACCTTGACTCCTGGTGCAGCAGCCAGGCCCGACAACATCAATCCGTCGTCTGCGAGGACCAACCCTGGCTCCCCTCTTTCACCCTGCACACACACACACAAATAAACAAACAAATGAAAATGAGTAAATGACAACAATGCTAAAACAAACAATGAAATATGAAAGACATTGACTTGACTGTTGTGAGAGTATAAATATGTGTTTAGATATTGTATGTTAGCAGAGCTAGGCGTGCATGTGTCACTTACTTTCATTCCTGGAGGTCCCTGAACTCCTGGCAACCCTCCGTCCCCCTTTGGACCCTGAGGACCCTGCAAACAACAACAACAAAGGAAATACAATAACTCATCCAACTGCTGGACTCTCAATACAGTTATAAAGTTGAACACACTTTCTGTATGTTTTCATATATCTGCAACATAACCATTTATTTTCTGATACTCACAGAAATCCCTGAGAAGTTGAAGGTGCCATCCGTATCGTTTAATTGAAGCTGTGTTAGGGGCAGGAAGAGCACGTTGTCAATGTAATCAAACTAACTCACTACAGGCAAAAACAGTCAGGCTGTTTGATTTAAAAATGGAAAAAATAATGGTCTTAATGTCGGTAATGAAGTGGGGAAGTCTGTACAAAAAATAAAAGAATCAACAGGGGGCGTTTCAGGTGCTACTCACATCCTGCAGGTTGATGAGGGGTCCTGAGGGTCCAGGTGGTCCTGGAGGACCTGGAATACTGAGCCCGTCTCGTCCCACTTCACCCTGAACAAATTATGTTATAACCATTTAGCCTTTACATTTTTAGAAAGGTGTGTTCATGTGTGATTTGCGCCTCGTCACATATCCAATCAAGTGTTACCTTCTGTCCTTTGTCCCCCTTCAGGCCCTGAAGAGGACACAAATTCATCTTTCAGTATTAGGAGTATATTTGACACCTTACACGTGTTGTTGAAATGCATATGCTGTAAATTACTTTCTGGATTATTTTAGAAATGACTTTTAATAAACTTGCAGCTATATTTTAGAATCAGAAGTGATCCATTCAAATGCATCTAAATTGGTCAAAACCATTTTCAAAAGTTGAATTAAATACTAAATGCATATTATATTAGTTCACCCAGTTACTGACCTCTTCCCCTTTGAATCCATCCAGTCCTGGAAACCCTGGGGACCCTGTGGCACCTTTCTCCCCCTGCAGACACCACCAGGAAACATAAAGCATTCTCTAGGCTCCATGTTCTCAAATACAAATGCCGTCAAAATGACTAGTTTAAAATCTACTTCACACATGGCTTTCTGTTAAAAAATGATTATGTTAAAGTCAAGTTCTCATTACACAGGTTGCGGTGAAAATAGGAAGTCACCAAGTGGTATTTCATTCTAGAGCGGCTCACTGTGACCTGAAACTTAACTTAAACAGTTTGTCCCAAAAAACTGTATTTAGAAAGCGAACATAAAAGCGCAACACAAAGTGCCAGAAGACTTACCCTTTCCCCTGGCTTTCCTGCGGCCCCATCCAAACCATCTTTACCCTATGAATAGCAAAATAAATCTGTTAAAGAAATACAATATAAACAACATGAACACCAAAACTAAGTGTGAGCCCTTACATAATAAAAACCCAAGCTTTAACAAAGTTATCTCACCCTGGGTCCTTGAATTCCAGGAACACCTGCAGGGCCCTGCGTAACAAATACAAGTACATTAATCTATAACACACTGTATGATGAGGGATATTAAGCAAAATCATGAAATATGATGGCGCTGAATTCTCTTCACGTTGTCACACGGTTTTACCTCTGGGCCTCTGGAAAGTGCTGATCCAAATCCACCTTGCATCCCAGAGCCTTCCAAGTCCTAATAAAATGCACAAAAAAAACAAGTTCCAACTTTGCATTTGTATTGTTCATTTTAATATGTATTTTAAATATACTGCATGTTGGAGGAGAATGTGACTTCAGATTGTATTTGCTATATGTCATGTGCATATGACAATAACATCTTAAAATCTTGATCTTGAAGACGTGATAGAGTCCTTACCTCAAAGTCCATAGAATAGCCTCTCCCTGGGGGGCCAGGAGGGCCCGGTGCCCCCGGGGGTCCAGGATGCCCCTCTGGACCCTCTGAGCCTGGCTGACCTGGAAACCCTGCAGGACCCTGATCCCCCTGCAAGAGGAGAAAGACCCCATTTAAAATTATCCTATAGTAAGTTAAATCACAAAAGTAGCTAAAGATTTGGATGTTGGATATTAGGAGCAGGATGAAACAGGGGTGGGGTGAAAAGGAGAGGGGGACTTCATAGAAAACATTTGGTTTAGGAAAAAGAAGAGACTTCATTTACAGGTAAACAAATATTTAATATTTACAACTTTGGATAAAACAACAATACTTATTCATTAAGGAAGACATTTTACCTTTGTTCCTGGTTGCCCGTTTACACCAGGCTCTCCCTATTAAACAGATACAAAAAACAACAATATAATCAGTAACTTTAATTATAACACTCAAATAGGAGGAAATAACCTAAGACGTAGTAAGAATACATTATGCTGGTCTATTTTTTGTTGCCATCAAATATTCATTAGCCTCACCTTGTCTCCATTCTCCCCAGCAGATCCGGGATCGCCATCTTTTCCATCAACTCCCTGCAGAAGCAAGAGTGTTATCAATTCAGATTCACATGCATAGGTTTTTTTCATATATGTTTTAAAATGGTATGATTAAAATGTTTCCAAAGATTGATGCTATTTTGAATGAGAACATATTTAACAAAGCTAATGGGTTCAAAGTGAATACACATTATGCACTAAACAGTTCTGCAGTAGACCTGTGAGTAGTCCAGTCACACAGTTAGTAAAAGCATCTAATATTTTAAATACAAAAGACACATTTCCCCCAACAGATACTGCAGCGTTGACCATGTTGTGAAGCACTAGTTTCTGCCAAAGTGTTGCTGCTGTAGCTGGAGGATAAATAAGTGTTGGTACATGAATGCATAAATATGTAACGATAAAAACACACTCGTAGGTCGATAAATGAATGCACACACTTCAAAATGGTCTCATTCACCGTATCACTCACCTTTAACACCACACACACACACACACACACACACACACACACACACACACACACACACACACACACACACACACACACACACACACACACACACACACACACACACACACACACACACACACACACACACACACACACACCACACACACACACACACACACACACACACACACACACACACACACACACACACACAGGCAAGAAAGCAGGAAATGAACATGGGTCTTTTATAAAACGTTGGGGGAAATACTGTCTTTTCAGTCCCTTAGATCTAAAGGGACTAAATGTTAATACCTGACCAGACCCAGACCCTGAATCAGAACCAGACCCTGAACCAGACCCTGAATCAGAACCAGAACCAGACCCAGAACCAGAGCCAGAACCAGTGCCACTAAACCACTCCTCAATTACCTGTAAACACACGTCCGGTCAGAAATGCACATGTTCCCTGGAAATGTGTGTTCTAAAGAACCTTGACATTTACATATGTACAATGAACAGATGATATACATATGTATCATGTATGATATGTAGGTAAACATTATATTAGGATTATTTATTTGTGTTTTAGCCTTTTTAATAAACTGTACATGCAGAATATGAAAAAGGAAGAAGTTAAACTTACAGGAACTCCAGGTTCCCCCCTCTGTCCATCCTTCCCATCTTTCCCAGGGGCCCCAGGTGATCCAGGAAACGTGTTCTCAGACTGCGCTCCTGGAGGCCCCGGGACGCCTGGTGGCCCTGGAGGCCCCTGATGGTCACGCAAAGGGGAATGTTAGTGTTAAAGTGCAACAAGGTGAAAACGTTTTCTCTGAATAGAGCTGTAGCACACCGTCACAGAGTCTCAGAGTCAATTATACATACAAAGCTATTCGTAGCACATCAAATCAGTCTTAACCAAATTATTTTATAATGCACCTAGCCATATTTATAAGGTTTCCCAATATACACATGCTGTTATAATTAATAAAAAAAAGAAAAAGACGCACCAAACAAAGAGAGCAAAACCAAAGTTAACTTACCCTCATAATCTCTGCATCACTGTCAAAGTCTTCTAACCCTCCTGACCCCTCCTGGTGATCACACAACATCATCACTCATTAGGAGGAGGTTTCCTGGGATTCTTTAAATAAGTTGTACAATCACTTTCTCATAGACTTCTATACAATTAGCCTCCTTGATATTCATTTCTGAATCAACTGCCATTAACAACTGCAGTTCACCAGATTGTTTAAGGATTAACAGAAGGTACACATTTTTTTAATAACCTACCAGGAACATGGAAGACTTGCTGGTTGGACCTGGAGGTCCAGGTGGGCCCGGAGGACCTGGACGTCCCAGACCAGGATCCCCCTGAAGGAGACAGCAGAGGGGTTTTTATATCCTACATTTAGTGATTCACTAGTGACAAAACAATGGCTTTCTGCAAGATACAAAACGCCTTTTTTTCAACAGCTGCACTGAAATATATTATTTATTCTAAATAAAGTGCATACCTAAACTGAAATAGATTTTTACATGGGTAAAATCCAATTAGCTGCTGTATTAGACTTAATGGCAGAAACAGTAATAGCTCCTTTCTGGCACTGTATCTACTGTTCATAACGCTGATACTATGGATACGTACCTCATACAGCTCAACTTCAATAAACCAAACTATCCATTTAAAACAGGAGCATTCTTTACCTTCTCTCCAATAGGACCAGAGTCGCCCTCCAGTCCTGGGAATCCTGGAACCCCAGTGGCTCCCTGGGAAAAAAGACAGGTACAGCTGTGCTCAATGCTTCATGAGATATCCCCCCATGACAGACAGTGATATCATGATGGGGCAAAGGAGATAACTTGTGACACTCATTTATTGTCACCTTAGTGTATAAATGTTAGTATTAGCTTAATCTTCAGATGAAAATTGGTGCATTTCTGCACCACTGTTACCAAGAGATACCTAAATATTGAACCTATCTATCGACTAATAAAGATTGTACTTACTTGGGCACCAGTTTCACCTTTGCTTCCCTGGAGAAAAGACAAAAGTATAACACCAATCAATCATTTATCTAAACAGAATTTTCTAAATAATGCTCTTGAATGTTCTGTAAATAGAAAGAAAAGATAAGAGCAGCAGCTAATAGGAATAATTAAAAAAAGAAAGAAAACATAGCCTTATACACTCTACACCTCTATACATGTAATAAACAGCAACGCATAAATGTAATATTGGAAAAAAAGCAACCAAACAAACAGATGAACTCACAGCCTGTCCATCTTTCCCAGAAGCCCCTGGTTTGCCTGAGGGCCCCGCTGGTCCCTGTGGCCCCCGGGGTCCCGGTTCCCCTCCCTCTCCCCCTCCTGAGGCTGTTCCTGGAGGGCCGGGGGGCCCAGATGGACCTGGCTCACCTTGCTCTCCTTTCTGCCCTGAAGACACCTGCAGGGACTGGATGATGAATAAACAGAGTCATTAAATGATTGATTAGCTCACTGGAATATAGCAAGTCATCATATACTGTAGTTCACATTTTTGAATTCACAACCACACAGATACATGTATTGCATCACATTCCTCGAAATGTAATGTGCTTTACATCATAATCATCCAATTAAATCTAAGAAAATGAACTTCTGACTCACCTTTACTCACCGCTGGGTCACCAGACCCTCCTTTCACCCACACACTGACCTCCTTTTCCCCTCTCTCTCCAAGTGAGGTTCTTACCCTCATTAACTCTGCCCGCCCTACCACCTGTCCTCTGGACCCTATCCCTTCAAACCTCCTTCAGACTATCGCTCCTGATATTCTACCGTTTCTCACCCATTTCATCAACACTTCTCTAACTTCTGGTCACTTTCCAAACAGTCTCAAGGAGGCAAGAGTAAACCCTCTCCTAAAGAAACCCACTCTCAACCCGTCTGATGTTATAAACTACAGGCCTGTCTCTCTCCTCCCGTTCCTGTCTAAAACACCTAAAACGCGCTGTCTTTAAACAACTCTCCTGTTATCTCCACCAGAACAACCTTCTGGATCCGCACCAGTCTGGTTTCAAGGCAGGTCACTCCACAGAAACTGCCCTCCTTGCTGTCACTGAGGAACTGCACACTGCTAAAGCAGCCTCCCTCTCCTCTGTCATCATCCTTTTGGACCTGTCTGCTGCATTCGACACGGTGAATCATCAGATCCTCCTTCGCACTCTCCAAGAACTTGGAGTTTCAGGCTCTGCACTTTCCCTCATCACCTTATACCTCAAAGACCGCACCTACAGGGTTACTTGGAGAGGGTCGGAGTCCGACCCTTGTCAATTAACTACAGGGGTCCCTCAGGGCTCTGTTCTCGGTCCCCTCCTCTTCTCCTTGTACACAAACTCGCTCGGATCTGTCATTAGCCCGCATGGTTTTTCATACCACTGCTACGCTGACGACACCCAATTAATTCTGTCCTTTCCCCGCTCAGAGACCCAGGTCGTCGCACGCATCTCTGCTTGTCTAGCTGACATCTCTCAGTGGATGTCTGCTCATCACCTCAAGCTCAACCTTGACAAGACTGAACTGCTTTTCCTTCCGAGAAAAGATTGTCCCACTCTTGACCTAACAATCAACATCGGCACCTCTGTTGTTTCCCCGACTCAGACTGCAAGGAATCTGGGTGTGACCCTAGATAACAACCTGTCCTTCACTGCAAACATCGCTGCTACAACCCGCTGCTGCAGATACACGCTTTACAACATCAGGAGGATACGTCCCCAGCTGACCCAGAAAGCCACGCAGGTTCTGGTCCAGGCTCTCGTCATCTCACGCCTAGACTACTGCAACTCCCTCCTGGCTGGTCTACCTGCATGTGCCATCCGACCTCTGCAGCTCATCCAGAATGCAGCGAGCGCTCGTCTGGTCTTCAACCTTCCTAAATTCTCCCACACCACGCCGCTCCTCCGCTCCCTCCACTGGCTTCCGGTAACTGCTAGAATCCACTTCAAGACAATGGTACTTGCGTACCATGCTGCGAATGGATCTGGCCCTTCCTACATCCAGGACATGGTTAAACCGTACACCCCAGCACGTGCACTCCGCTCTGCATCAACCAAACGGCTCGCTGCACCCTCACTGCGAAGGGGACCCAAGTTCCCATCAGCAAAAACCAACACACTCTCACTCCCTAAGCGTCCAGGAGCGACGTTTGGTCAGTGTCCGTGGCGTCCAGTTGTGACGCTCCTAGGCTCCTTCAGCGTCATAAAGGGACGCAAATAGCTTTCAACTGATTGCAATGTATTCCCATCTGCGGCAGGATTTGACGCTCATGGAAGCACGGCATTCGTTTGTGTCGGCTGCCCTTAAAGGCAATGTGAGCGTCCATTCCCATTGGATAACGGAGAATTGTACACCCGGAAGTAAGTATTCCTCTTACTGTCGATTGATTTTACAGTGATATCTGCACTACTCATCGACTAAAAAACAACAGATTATCCTTGTTAATTACACAACATTGATTGGTTTAAATTGTGTGCAATGCTTTTGTATTTTTCCCCTTCGATTCGAAGAAACAAATATTTTTTCGTAGTAAAGGATGGCAGAAGACACCACACTACCCAGAATCCCCAGCTATCGTTTGGACTACACCATGTGCTCTGTTTGACAAATCACGTTTTTTTTCACCATTCATTCCAATGGCTGGCGTCTATGTCACGTGATCTTCAAATTTCTCCCTACAGAAAAAGAAAACATGGCCGAACTTCGTTTTATTCTCGGTGGAAAATGCCTATTTTAAAGTTAGTTTGGCCATTAAAATGCGTTTTGATATCATTTGATGCGAGAAATACGAGTTGTTATTTCAGATGATGTGTGCAGTGGATGTACATGATCTTTAGTTTTCTAGTTATTACGAAGATTACTTCAGGAAATCGCGACGTTTTCATTGTTACCAAGGTGGTTGCTAGTGACGCTGCTATCGATATTATTTCTGTTATGTTGTGTAACTGTTTAATGGTGTTATCTTTATTCCTACCCCCTTCCCCGTCAATGTATAGTGTTGGTCCACAGCGCAAACATATTAGTTTAACAAAATCCGCATCTAAAGATAGCCTACGTTATTTTCCCCTGTGCAATTCCAGTCTCACATCTCACAGCACATCGTCATTAACAAATACCGGAAACAGACCGAAAACATTTAAAAAAAATAAAATAATACTTTATTCCGAGTGTGCTTGCTTTTCTCTTTGAAAGTCATCACATAACGGCATTGTAATACACGGTTCGGCTGCATTAAATATTACATATCTGCCGTAGTTCTGTATTTATAGAGCCCTGATGAGAAGACTTCTAGACAAACATGAGGAACTGAAAACGTGACGTGGATCATAAATATATCAGCCATTAAACAACATCTTACATTTATTTTTCACACAATACGTCTCCTTGCAGTATCAACACTAATTCGGCTGACTTTTATATTTGATCCAATTGGTAGAAAGGCTGTATTTACACCATAAAGGTGCACAGCTGATATAAAGGGACACCTAGTGGTTAAAGCATGTTATTGAATTTCATTATTTTTATTATTAGATATTAATAGGATCCCTATAAAGTATATTCATTACTCGTTATTCTCTACTAATAGTTAATTAAAGACTGTATATAATGACTATTATGCACATCCCTTTTCAAGATTTCAACTATGGTGTAGTTCTGCATTGAATGAAAAACTTGGGTCGCAGGTTCCTCAATAGTGCATTACAAGACATCTATCAATATTTGTGCATACCTCCAGCAATGTTAACTATGTTGAAGCACTTATTTGAACTGATAGTATACATATGTATTATACTCTTATAAGATGTATGTAGATATTTCATCTCCGACCTTGTCAGGTATTGAACAATCAATCAATAAAGAACACAGAATTGTTAAATATAAAACACAGAATTTGTGTGATTATACTAAATGATTTACAAATAAACACCACTGCATATTTACAACTGTTACACATGCTGATGTAACGCAAATGTTCCAACTTGGGATCAATAAAGTATATCTTATCTTAAGCTGATCGATGGCTACTGCCATATTTGCAAAATTTGCCTCTGAACCTTGACAAGTGCATGTTTCAGGCTTATCAATTAATGTAATGTAATGTAATGTTATCAATTAACAACAGGGGTCACAAACATAAGACCAGCTGTTAAATAAAGCTCTTCTGACCTTAGCTGGCATGTGTGTATGCTGCCCATTATGGGCACAAGCAATTTTCACCCATTTATTAATTATATGTTTTAAATGTGAGTGTTTCCTATCCCCTAAATGTACACAGTTTAATACGGGCAACTTCTTATTATGGGAAATACGAAAACGTCTTTTAAAACTACAACTCCCAGTAGAGACGTGCCATAGATAGAGAACATGTTGCGAAACAGAATAGCCAGCATGTGTAGTTCTGGGGACGGGGTGGGGGAGGGGGGGACGCGGTGGACCCGTTCAAATCCAGTTTTGGACAGTCTGCCTTAGTTCCATCCCATTTCAAGTGCTGTTCGAGGCTCGGCGTAACCCTCGGAGCACACTCTCCAATCACAGAGCTTGAGGACTATCACGAGGTTTGTCAAACAGAGCACATGGTGTAGTCCAAACGATAGCTGGGGATTCTGGGTAGTGTAGTGTCTTCTGCCATCCTTTACTCAGAAAAAATATTTGTTTCTCCGAATCGAAGGGGAAAAATACAAAAGCATTGTACACAATTTAAACCAATCAATGTTGTGTAATTAACAAGGATAATCTGGTGTTTTTTAGTCGATGAGTAGTGCAGATATCACTGTAAAATCAATCGACAGTAAGAGGAATAATTCCGGGTGTACAATTCTCCGTTATCCAATGGGAATGGACGCTCACATTGCCTTTAAGGGCAGCCGACACAAACGAATGCCGTGCTTCCATGAGCGTCAAATCCCGCCGCAGATGGGAATACATTGCAATCAGTTGAAAGCTATTTGCGTCCCTTTATGACGCTGAAGGAGCCTAGGAGCGTCACAACTGGACGCCACGGACACTGACCAAACGTCGCTCCTGGACGCTTAGGGAGTGAGAGTGTGTTGGCAAAAACACGTGGGTTTGCTATCCTGGCTCCAAAATGGTGGAATGAGCTCCCCATTGACATCAGGACAGCAGATAGCTTACACACCTTCCGGCGCAGACTGAAAACTCATCTCTTTCGACTCCACTTCGAGCAATAGAACTATTAACAAAGCACTTATATACTAATAAAAGACTGGCTTATCTAAAGCCAGTTGAGTAGCACTTGAAATGTTTTTGCTCTATGAAACCTGATGTACTTATATGATTCTATTTTCTTCAAGTTTGTATTTTGTTGGTCGAACGCACTTATTGTACGTCGCTTTGGATAAAAGTGTCAGCTAAATGCAATGTAATGAACTTACAGTGTCACGTATGGAGGCTGGAGTAACTGTTGGAGATGACTTCACTGTAAACAAAGACAAAAAGTGAGAACATACAAAAATAAAATCCGCTTACTTTCGGGCATACCTAATGGTATGGTAGTATGGATATTGGAGTATATTTAGTGCAGGTCAAAGGAAAGATAAGAGAAAACAGAGAACGTTTTTATGTGTCTTTAGCACCATCTTCTGGATAATTTGGGAATTACACCACCAGAGAATTTCAGCATTACTTCCATGTTGGGCTGGGTGATATGGAGATATTTAAATATAGGATTATGTTTGATCAAAACCCTTGTTATTGTATAATAATCAGTAAAGAAGATACAATGATTAATTAACAAGTTTAGAATAATGACATGACATTGTAATGCAGCATTTAAAAACCAGGAAAAGACAACACTCATGCCATGTTACATTCTCCAAGACCTGAGACAATAGTCTCACACCAGTATATATACACTATTGTTATATTGAATAGCACTACTTCTATATCAGTATATTATTAATTATTAACATATTAGTAATTATACTTTGTTGAAAACGACATCAAATACAAAGGTAATTGTTATACCTATTACTGTGGTCTTCTCCACTTCTTGTCCAGAAGTCTCCTCTATGTCTTCATCATCATCATCTACGAAGGCCCGGGACATCTCTGTGGGGGGGGCTCGGACAGGGGCGCTGTAGGAGGGGTCCAGCTCTGGGAGGGGCTGGGAAGAGAAAAGAAGAGTTCAAGTAGGGCTCTGCATGTTTTTATTTTTTATGTGGAGTGTTGCACAAACATGCAGGAAGTTACAAGATGTACCAGGAATCAGGATGCAATGTCTACTCTTAAGATTCAATAGTAAAGAAGCTCATAAAAGAAACACACACCATGGTGTTCACAATCTTCTTCACTTCGTCTCTTCCCTCCAAGTCGTCATAAGCATCGTCACCGCTCCCATACCCAGAGGCCTACGGAGAAAATTACAAAAGAAACATCCTTTGTTTCCCAGTTTCTGTCATGACTTTAATTAGACTGTATACAGCTCAACTTTTACCTGAAAAAAATTGTTGATTTTTCTCATAACAATGCAAGACACATAGAAAAAGAAAAAGCAATACAGATACAAACATTTTTTTCACAGTCTACACTTTTTGGGTCTTAAATTCAGCTCATCCTTCATCTGAGAAGCATTTGGAACAGCATGAACCTGATTGAAAGGTGCATTAAATACATGTTCTATTAATTTATCGATTTATTTATTTCATGCAAATGTGATGTTGTAACAGGAAAGGTTCTGCTCAAAATGATTGAAAGCAAAGTATTTTCAAAATATAACTCCATAGCATACAAGTTACCTTACTACACAGAAGTATATGGACGCTGCTGCATACAAACTGTTGTTCATATAGTTCACCAGTAGAGGGAGGAATAGCGACATGTTGAGAAAGTCTGTGCGTGCACACTCACATAGGGATCGTCCTCCTCACACTGGTCATCTGGGGCCGTGGGATCTGACTTCAGCACCAGCTGCTGGATGGAGCCCTGCAGTAAATGTCATTACATTTAATTAAATCTTAATAACATCTCACACACAACAGCATGCCTCTGGCTGTCGGCGTTTCAGTTGATCTATCTCCAGAGTTACTGTAATAATTTTACTTGTGTCGGTAACGGAGTAGTGTAACGCGTTACTTTTATAATTTGGTGATCACACTACAGTTACTAACATTGCCCCGACACGCGTTACTTCGTTACTTTTATAAAATAATCACACTCACTGACAGACAAGAGGGGTTTCCGCCGCAGGTTTATATACATGTAGGCCCATGTAATCTGCGCGACTTGCGAGACCACATCTCCACGTGCAGTGCTGCATAAACATGGCTGAGTCTTTTCATCTGTAAACTCCCTCAACGGGGCCGCTCGCTCTCTTTTGTTGATCGCCCTCTCACGGGTGAACAGTTCAATGTCCCGCTTCATTGTAGGAATTCTGCCATGTCTCTACCACTTTAGTTTGACCATCTCTGTTACTAAGTTATGGAATACTAAATAAATAAGTAATTAGATACCTTACCGTTACTGCGCTCATAAAGAATGATAATAATAATGCGTCTTGAACTGGTTTCATTAATTAGTGTCTTGACGTTTCACAGACTGTTAGCTTGTTGTGTGGCTGGTAGCCTATTTGAGAGCATATACAAAGAAAGACTTGTGTTATGTCTTCCTTAATGCAATAGTAATTGGGGGTGCAAGTGGAGTCTCGCAGAGGCAAAACTGTGGCGCGCACACTGTAGGTGCACCGCAGTCTGCCTGTAGGGAGGGGCGGGTCGGCCCTGCGAGTAAAGTAACGAGTAAAGTAACGAGTAAAGTAACGAGTTACTTTATGTAGAGAGTAACGAAGTAGTGTAATATATTACTTTAAAAAAAAAAGTAATATGTAATATATTACTTTTTTTTAGTAACGACCCCATCTCTGTCTATCTCTCTTCCTCGTTATCCCACACATTATCAGAGTGTAACACACACCAAGATCTGGAAATTAAACAGATCTCAAAACACATTTACATCATTGTAGTGGACACATTTGATCATGGCTTTTAACAACAGCTTTTTTCGTTTAAGAAGTCAAACAAAAGGCTTGAAATGTAACAGCTATAGGTCATTAAAATATATTTGATTATATTTTTACATGTTACTTGTTAGACGCGTTTATCCAAAGCGACTTACATACTCAATACTGTGGGCAATCCCCACAGGAGCAATTTGGGGTGAAGTGTCTAGCCCAGGGACACAACGACATGCTGACTGCAGTGGGGTTTGAACCTGTGACCCCCTGGTCCCAACACCAAGGCTCTATCCACTGCACCACACGCCTCCATATTTCTATCAAATGTACCAGCGGAACCATGGAAAGTCTGCCAAGTCGATTCTTGCTGTCACTATTCTGACTAGTTATTACAAAGAGTTGGAATCCCATGCGTGGGTGTATTTGATGTAAGGCAACGCAAAATGGGACCACATTAAGGAAAGTAGGAACGCTTGCTTTTCCATTATTTAGTGTGCAAATGGTTCTTTAGATGGGAGAGTCAGCAGGCGCTTTATTAGATCAGTAAAGACTTGCTAAAGGCAATTTCAGTCAAGTTTATTGATACTGAATTGGAGCCAGAGGACAAACACCTGTTTCTCATGGCACGGCCGATGAAATGTAATGGTGGTGAAGTAGTGAGAAAGAGAGAGGAAGAGAAAGAAAGCAACTCAATTAGAAACATCTGTTTGTGCAGTAAACAACACATCTGCATTAAACAAAGCAGGTGCCATGCAAGTGGGTGTGAATTTAACTTCAGTTTTTGGTACTGATCTGAAAGGCAACTAAGTGAAATCAATCCAAACACTTGAAGGCAGGCTGTGTGATTGATGCATTTAAAGTTGCATGCTGGAAAACTTGCACAAATAAGACTACTGTATAAAACAGAACACTGCATACACACATGCTCCTATAAGCGTCTACATGTTCAAAAAACAGACACACACACATGAATGCAGTCAGATAGTTCATTTATCTGTGCATTGTCAACGTGTTAGGTTGTACAGTACACTCAGTAACTCAGGGAGACTTAGTAAATAATTTGCACACACACTTTTTCTATTTCACACAACATGTAAAGATGGTTCCAGCAACACACAAATCCTTTCCAACACCCAGCATGGGATGTGTTTCAGTGAAACTAAGGTAAGGTGTGAGTGTGTTTCTGCAGAGAGCTACTGTTGTTGCTTTCCAAGAAGATGGAATATTTCAAAGGAAGCTGCCAGGTCAAACACTGAACAGCTGGAAACAGAGAGTCACTACGGACTTCTTTGTCTGAGAGGGGAAGACTGTGTGAATAGAGAAGGAGCTTATTGAGAGGAGATAGAAGAGAAACAGCTGCAGGTCAACTTGATCAAAGCATTATCTCGTAAGGCGTTGCTGTAGGTCCAAATGTTCGGATTAAATACAAATTATAAGGGTCTATTTGAACTCAAACCATGATTTTTTTATTAACATAACCAAGTAGTTTTGTTGGCTGAACCTAAGTAGACTTCTGGCAGAAAGCCTTGAAAGCTCTCCAATGCGGCAGAAAGTGGATACAATTGTAATGCTTTCTTAATATTTAATGTAATCACATCTCTATGCTAAATGTGAAGCGAGACTTTGATACTAGTGTTGGTCTGACAATAAAGTATTTCTGCATAATAAAAGAACCTTTTCATGCTTTCCCTTATACGTGCACCTGGGAGGTTTATCTGGGCATAGAGAAGGGAAAAGACTAGCCTGGCTCTTTCCAAATTAAAAAGAACCTGCCTGCTGTTGCGCAGTACATTTTATATTGGATGTATTTTAGTAAAGATGCAACTGAAAATGATTTCCTTCCCACCAGGCTTGTCAAAATGTCAAAGGCTCGTGGGATGAAATAACAAGTTAATTAGAACTATACTAAATTGAATCACAACACTAGGGAGCAATGACTTCCTGTTGTCCTTGTTATCAGTCCAGTGTTCCCGTCACCACACAAAGACACAATATCAAGTCTATAAAGTCTAGTGGTCACTTTCCCTCTATAGGTCAAGACTGAATGTGAACAGAACATGGACTCCTCTGTGAGACCCCATCAAATCAGAATACACATCATTTCTCCTTTCCTGGCTCATTGGATTTCTTTAAAACTCTCCTCGGATTTCTCTAATAAATTGAGTGGAAAAAAGCAATAAGAACTTCTTTCCACTGTCCTGGAAACAAAAGACCAAGAAGAGGAGGACAAATGTCCCAGGGCAGCATCAAAAGTGATTTATTCAAAAAAATGATTTTTGGCAAGATGTGTTTAAAACTTTTGATGGAAACGTATTGGAAACATTTCAGATTTTTACATCTTGATAATATTGAAAACTCTGAAACCTTTTTTAATGGCTCAGATAAATATAATTTCTCCTTGTGTATCCTTAGCATAGAGCTAAACTATTTTCTCCTCATCATCCCTCCTGTTGCACTGGGACAAACACAGCTCTGTGATTGGAAGGAAAGTGCTGCAGCATTTACAGGTTTATTTATTTTTTACAAGAGCACTGAGAGCAGAACACAGTATCGCATCATTACTACCTCTTCTTCTCAATGTGCATGCTCAACAATTCTCTTTCACACATGCCCATAATGACCACACAGGGGTATTTTTTAAGAAATGCATAGGATTGGGACCCCCCCTTTGCATCCTCGGTAGTGTTTGATTATTTGTAATTAAGCATGTGGCATATGCACTGACACTTTGTAAGTTATTCAAGATGACAGACTCAGATGAGAGATCGGCGATGTTCCAGAAATGCAAATCACATCCAGCTTGCATTTATGAGCTCTCACAGGATATGCTGCCATTCATTCCTCTGTGCTCTGTCCTCTGGTCGTAAAGCTGCCAGGAAAGCCTATTGTGTTCATGTCTCAAGTGTAAAATAGGCGACCGCCCAAACGCCACGTTTAGTTTCAGCAACTAGCAATGGATCCGACATCAATTCACTGCTCACTGACATCGAGAGCAGGGAAATGTGTGTCAGATTCAGAGACACACAACAGATCATCCAGACTCACCACAAACCTCTGCAGACCCGTCCCCCCAGCGTTCCCGATGAACATCCCCGAGCTGGGCTCAAAGGTGAGAGGCTGGGGGCTCCTGCTGAAGGCCACTCGATGATACTCCTCACAGTCCATGTAGAGACGCACCTGAGTCACAAGAGCACACGCACAAAGTCAGCGAACCAGTCAAAAGCGCTCACTTTTGGTACCTGTTTTTGCCTTAAGACTATTACTTTAAACAAAGAGTGGTGGTTAAAAGTTCAAAATGGGGTTGTTTATGCTAATGCTGAAAGCAGTGTAACCCAGCCGATTGCACACATTGTCTCTACTGTTGTTAGTGCATGAATCAGCAGATCCAGCTAATCTTACTGATGTCAAAATGCCCCCACCTTGCATCTTACCCATATGAAGTAGACCACGCACTGACCTCTGCCCCCTGTACGGTGAGGGAAAACCTCGCCCATCGTCCCGTCATGTCTCCCATTTTGAAGGAAGCCGCTTCCTGCGTCCTCCCTGTTCCGGGGTCCGTGTAGTACAGTACGACTCTCTGGGACCCATCCTCCACCTCCGACAACGCGATACCCAAGTGTACAATCTATACAAAAAAATCAAAGAGATGTTGAAAAATGAGTTGCTCTTTATTTACATGTAGGAGAAAAGTAGACTTAGGAGAGTGTCCAAATGATGTACTTTTTGGTAGGCGTCTGTGATGGCGAACAGCATCCCCCCTTGGCGTGTGGTGGGTTTAGCGGTGACTGTGATGGCAAAGTTGTAGTAGAAGGGGTCGGGGATGAAGGACTTGGTGAGGCGGCCCACGTTGGCGTCGGGGCCGAAGCTGTAGGCGGGGTAACCCTCAAAGCCTGTGACGAAGGAGACAGAGGGAGGCAGGGGGACGCCGATCAACTCTGTCAGGTCCAACGCTCCCGGAGAACCACGATCTGAAGGAAACAGACGTTACAATCATTAGGGGGACAGAGACAGTTACCAAAACCTAATTTGATCCAAAGCAAATCTTTGGGCCGCTCTAGTTGGTATCTGTGGTTAGACAATACATAATGAAGTGTGTGATGTGTTTAATGCATACTCGAAGGTGACAGGTATATCTCCTATAGAGAGCCCATGGGCGACCTACAGATAATCTTCCACCCTGCGCCCCCCCGCTGGGTTAATCCAGCTCTGGGTCAGAGGACTGATCTGTTATCATAGAAATTAAAGCATTCCTCAGCAGACAGTGTGGGAGGTGAATCATCTTTTCATTTCCTACTAGACTTAAAGGAAAAGTTATTACATTTAACATATTATATATATGTTTTGTGATCTTTAACAATTATATTATTATCTCTGCTATTCATTCTCAAACATTCTTGTTTAGAAGTCCCCAGCTTCTAGTGTATTTGACACAAACAAAGACATTTGTATAGTTTTACTAATGAATCTCTTTCCATACATTGGGATCTCTGCAATGCTAAAGCTGGACATTTATGTTTACAATCCTTTTATAAAATGGCATTCTGGTTTGCCTCAGTTTCTGTTCACAATAACGGCCGTTCCTTAAAACCCTCTTGAGTTCTAGGATATCCTTGCTTCAGTCTTTATGACAACTCGTCAGATACACCCCATAAAGTTTGCCAAGAGGGTGAGAAGGGGCTTCCATCTGTCTGAAGCTTCCATCCATGTCATCTCAACAATACTGTAAGCACGGCTCAGTGCACACACACCATCTCCCTGTCTGTATGTCATGCATGCACACATGGTTACACACACATGCACATACACAGCCTGCCAGACAGCATGCGCTCCAAACTTCTCTCAGACAGACACGGAGGCACTGTGCATGCCCACCTACATCTAATTCTCCTCCTCTTGCCCTTTTGTCTGGCACACGCCAGGAAAGCACACACACCTGCACTCTTGCGCACACACACACATTCCATATACACCTGGTTCTCTTTAGCGGGAAGACCCCAGGAACAATTGTGTGTTCTGTCAGAGCGAGTGGGCAGCAGGGTGCAGAGGCTGGGCATCTGGAAGGCATTAGGTTAGACTAATACACACGTGCTGCGCAGTGGCAGCTCCTGTAAATTAGGCTAACAGTGCAGCCTGTGTGTGTGTGTGTGTGTGTGTGTGTGTGTGTGTGTGTGTGTGTGTGTGTGTGTGTGTGTGTGAGAAAGGGTGACAAAGAAAAAAAGAGAGGGGGAAAAGAGAGAGTTGAAACAGCAAGACTTAAATGGGCGTTTTGTGCGTCTGTGTGTGTGTGTGTGTGGTTAGTCAGGCTCCCGAGCGGAAGAGAGGCACACTCTTTTCCCCGTGCATTAATTGGATTGAAACCCCTACAGACTGTGGCAATTAAATAAAAAAAAGAAGTGCAACCTATACTTCCCTGCTGTGCAAACACCACTGAAGCTGAACTCACAAAATTGTCAGTACTGATAAGCTTCGAAAACATTGCTCATATTTGTTTTTGGCATATGTTTTCCAGCTAATTGCAGAGAACAATCCAGTCTCTCCTGTGTTGGAATCAACATATTGTTACAGCTTCTCTAATAAAGTACTTTCACTTCACAAACGGTTGTTTAAAATCACTGATACTAACTGAATTATTATTAACATATAGGAGGCCATCATGTGGCTATACAACCCTCACAATTGCAAAACATAAAATAAAACTAGGCTCAATCTGCAACCCTGTTAACAGTCAGGTGATGTGCGAGCAAACTGTGCCCAAATGCACCATATATAAGCAGCGGTCTTTAGCAAAAACTGATTTCTTCATGTTGTCCAGGTTCAGTGTGGTCTCACAGTAGCCTGATTTACAAACAAGTAAAGCAAAAATCGGGAAGTGATTGTGATTAAAAAGACATACTATAAGTCATAAATACTGGAGGTAAAAAAAACAACTCCAAGGAAGTTCCGCAGGTTTCAGCAAAAGCATTGAGTTTGTATTGCTCTCTTAAGAGGAATGTAATAGACCACCAGGCACTGATTTAATTAAGAGGATACAGTGACATCTCAGCTAAAACAAGCAGTAAGAAATATTTTCCAAATACTCTTTGACCCATTTCTGAATCCAGAGAATATCTGAATCAGACATTGATGGTTCCCCGGCTGCCTGTCCTCTAGACGCTATACTTTCTGTGTTGTCAGAGGGAAAGACCTGCCAAACATTCCCACAGCTCAGCCTGTCACTTCCCGCCGTCTGTGCCCGAAAGTGACTTCACTGCAGATGTTCCTCCTCTGGGTCAGAGACTAACAGCTGGACACATCGCCATGGAAACTATAGGTTACTTACGTAACCCCAGTTCTCAGAGTAACATGAAGTGAGATGTCTCACTATGGAATGCGCCTCATCGCGGAGCAAACAGAAGCATCAATCTCATTACGCCAATCCTGATTGGCTGGTGATCTTGACGTCAGGGAATCACCCCCTATAAGTAGCTTGCGCCACGACGCATGCGTCATTCAAAATAAGCACCTCTTCTCGCTTCACCATAGCAAGGAGGGCCGTCTGTTGAGACATCTCACTTCATGTTACTCTGAGAACTGGGGTTACGTAAGTAACCTATAGTTCTCATTCATAACACTCCGTTCGATGTCTCACTATGGGAAATTGTAGCTCCCGTATTGCCAGACGAGCTTATCTCAAAAATCACCAACCAACCAGAACTTAACAGGTAGAGTCCCGACTCAACAAGGTGCCCAGCACTGCTCGGGCCATGCTTGGAGCGGAGACGTCTAGCCTGTAAAAGCGGACAAAAGTGAGCGGCGAGGACCAGCTCGCCGCTGCACAGATGTCTTGGATGGAAACACCCTTGAACAAAGAGCAGGATGTAGCCAGGCCCCAAGTCGAGTGAGCCCGCAGACCCGAAGGTGCTTGCAAACTCTGACTCGTATAGGCCAAAGCAATTGCCTCCACAATCCAGTGGGAGAGCCGTTGCTTAGTAACAGGCTTGCCCTTGTGAGGGTTAGCCCAGGACACAAAGAGTTGGTCATTAAGACGAAGCTCCTTTGATCTGTCCATATATGTGCGTAAAGCACGGACTGGACACAACAGATCCTGCTGCTGTTCCCCGGAGGAAACCAGCGGCGGAGGAAATGCCTCAATGTCAATTGGGGTACACGAACCAACCACCTTTGGTGTAAAGGCAGGGTTGGGCTTCAACAACACTCTCGTTTGCCCTGGGGCGAACTGAGTGCATGAAGGATGTACAGACAGAGCATGAATATCACTGACCCGCTTGGCGGATGCCAGGGCCAGTAACAGCACTGTCTTGAGTGACAGATGTTTCATGTCAGCTCCTTCCAGGGGTTCAAATGGGGTCATTCTGAGCCCATTTAAAACCACTGCCAAGTCCCATAAGGGCACCAGTGACCTGGAGACAGGGAGGAGCCTGCGAGCTCCCTTCATAAAACGGCAGACCAAAGGATGTTGGCTTGCCGTCTTACCCTCAAAGCCCACATGGCATGCAGCAATAGCAGCCAGGTACACCTTGATCGTGGAGAAAGCTCTGTGTTTATCGATCAAGTCCTGTAGAAATGATAAAATCACCCCGACAGGACATTGAAAGGAGATGTGTCCTTCTTGAAGGCATCACTCCTCAAACACCCTCCACTTACAGTCATAAAGACACCTGGTGGAGAAATCTCTCGCACTCTGAATAGTGTTTATCACCTTCTGAGGGAGTCCCACTGTATTCAGATTGTACCACTCACGGGTCAGGCCCATAGTGCCCCGCACTCTGGGCGTGGGTGAAGGATCGCCCCCCCCGCCTGAGACAATCTGTCCCTGCGTAGTGGGGGCTGCCATGGCTGCCCGCACAACAGCTGATATATCTCAGCCAGCCCGTACGTTGCGGGCTAGGGCGGAGCCATCAGGATAAGTGTGTGGCGTTGCTCCTTCACTCTGGCCAGAGTTGGGGGTATCAGAGCCAGGGGTGGGAACACGTACAGAAGACCCGGAGGCCAATCGTGTACGAGTGCGTCCACGCCTAACGGTGCGTTTAAATCGTGCATTAAAGAGAACAGCTGTCATTGAGCATTTTCTCTTTATGCGAACAGATTTAACGCGGCTCTGCCGTAACGCACCCACAGCGGACTCACGATCCTTGGATGTGGAGTCCAGTCTGCATAGAGTGGTGCACCTCTGGACAGTAGTTCTGTCTCGAGGTACATCATTCCTGGTACATGCGTCGCTCTCAGAGAGAGGAGACGTCTGCCGCTCCAAGGGATCAGTTTGTGTGCCAGTGTGTGTGACTGGAGACAACGCAACCTCCCTTGGCGGTTCATACACGATACCGTGGTCATGTTGTCTGTCCTCACGAGGACATGGTGTCCTCTGAGAGAAGGCAGAAAGCGTTTTAGGGTGGGGAACACCGCTAAAAGCTCCGGGTGATTTACGTGCGCCCGCTGGAGGTCTCTGCTCCAGAGACCCCTCACCGGGCGACCTTCGTAAATACCCTATCAGCCTGTCAGACATGCGTGAAAGGACAGCACCCGTAGGCGCGCCCCGTACTAGAAAAGTCGGGTGCGGCCAGTGGCGTAGTGCCACTACGCATTTCATAATAACCAATACTCTCCGCACGCCGTGGCGCACGGGGTTTAGTTTTATTATGAGACCCATGTTGAACAGGTGCTTTACGAGGACATTTGTCTGCGTAATCTGACTCTGCTCGGCGGGCATTATAGATAAAATCCTCCTTTCTAGGAGAGAGAGAATCTCTCTCTCCAGAATACGGGTTGACTCTCACCGGGCTTGTGAATACAGATAGCCCGAGAAGCGAGGGGGGGGCGACGGTGACTTGGAGTCTGTAGCTCCGTGTAACTGTCTTGAGAAACCCAAGCAGATGTCGTGAGCATCTCCCGCTGTATGCTCCTTACCCCCTAATCGCACCAGGAGCGTCTGCGCTGCGGCTGCGCCGCGCTGCGACCTCCTCCTGCGTCC